ATATTACAGTACAGGCGAAATCGATTTTTCAGTCCGAAATCGAGTGGGTGGTTTTTACGGAGACAGCCTCTTAAGCTTTTTAAACACTGCTTGTCTCATCCTTTCCACAATTCTTGTTCTAACATTCCCTTTGCTTAAAATCAGAACAGAGGTCCCTGTGCTGAAGATTTGTGGGTTGGGTCTTGGGAGCGGTAACGACCTACAATTCATTAATTAAAAAAACTGAACTAAACATTATTTCCTCGTATTGTCAGGTTTTTGACAACTGTGAAGGGAAACAAACATCCCTCTTCTTAGAAAATGCCAAAAGACACGAAGTACAGTGTGGACTGATGGATTTGCCTCCCACATAAACACCAACACAATACTGCTACAACAAGTAGCACGACACAGAATTGCTAATCATAGCTTGAATTTAGTGGATCCTGTGACAGGCGTACACAAAAAATATTGAATCAAAATGGTCGTCCCTCAAGTTAGAACAGAAAGCTCGGAAAGGTATATCCAGAGAAAATATGCAAGTGTATTTAATTTTAATTTTAACATCTTCATGTACAGAGAATGGAATGGGTCGGATGACCAGTTTTTATATAATTTACTTGGTTCTATTGCACTTTCTTACCCTTGTTTTAAAGTATTAAAATACTTTTGTGAATGGGAAAAGATGTAAATGTTATGATCAATAAAATAGTTTAAAGAAAAAAAGTTTGTTTGAAATATACATGACTGGCATCTTTAGATTTTTGGTTGTCGCAGCCCAACCGTAAATGCACGATCGAACGGCTAATGATCCCGACGACAAATGAAACAAAGGAAAATAACACCACTTAATTTCTCATAAATAAACAAGCTTGTACCAATAATTTATAATTTACAGGACCAGAATGTTGCTTTTATATGTTATATACCTTCAAAAAGTGCACATCTGGACAATGCATTTCTACCAATCCTAAAGTCGTTAGTATAAGCTCTGTGCCTATAGTATGAAAGATGGCCATGGAATGCAATATTTAGGAAATAAAGAACAATCTATACTACAATCTCTTTCTTTTCAGAACAAAGTGGATCAGCAAAAAAAATTGAAATGCCTGGTTTCTCCAGTAAGAATAATTCCTTTTAAGAAAGATTTATAGTATCTAGGATTAATCATGATCTGCAGAAGATTATTACTCAAGATTATCATTAATGGATAGTGAAAGTTCCCTTCTCATGACATTTAATACTCCTCTTGGAAGAATGAAGTGGAACAGAATGCCATTTGGCATAAGTGTCTTCCTTGCAATCTTGTAGTCCTCCATACTGAATACTGGACCCTAAAAATATTGTATAAAGATTGAAAATTATCATGGTACCTATGAAGTATTCTCAAAGTTCCAGTGCAATCTATCAATAAAGAGATTGCTTGTTTAAATAAACAAAGAACCTACCATTGCCTAATTGCATACCAAGAGGGACTGGGACGAATCCGGACAAACAGGGAAAAAGTTCAAAACAAAGTGGCGTACAGTGTTGACACCATGAAAAAGAAATGGCACGACACGGCTAAAAAAACGCTGCGCATGCGTGAAGTTTCAAAAAAAAATATGGCGGACGAAGGAGGCTTGATTGAAGGCAATCTTCGGAGCTTAAAAAGTACGGCAAATATGGCCTTGTGCTCTTTGAGATCAAGATAACGTCTGCATATCTTCTTAATATTGGAATGGTTTTAGACTCTTAACATATTATGTATCGCAAAAGCTTTAGCAATATAGAGAGGTCTTCTCTCAAAAATCGAAATGAACTTGCCGAGTGACAGCAGGTGATATTTTTGCCAAATATAAGCTCCTATGTGCAGATATAAGAATTTTGATGGTCTTTAATTTTAAAGTGTTTTAAAAATGTTTTAAGGACTTTTCCTTCAAAATATCAAAAATGTCTTTTTTTAAATTCATGACTTTTTTTATCCTCACTTAAAGTTCAAGTTCTCTCAACATTTCATGTTTCTAAACAATCCAATCTGGTATTCGTTCATCTATTAGGTCTTTTGAGTATAATTATTTCAAAACGTACTTGTGGGCTTGAATTCTATTTGATATCCATTTAGGTTATCTGCTAATAAAACAAACTTCTTCTTGCTTTTTGGTGTTAGTTGTCTAATTTCTGAAGAGTTTATGGCTCTTTTGTGTGGATTTTTTATCATGGAGCAAATTTGTCATAGAGCAGACTGGAGAGCTACAAGATCAGTTATGACACCAAGATAAACCAAGATATAACAGGTTGTAGGGGAAAAATGAAATGGTTCACTCACGACGAAGCTATCTTTTATGGTTTTGACACAGTTTGCCTTTCTTACTTTCACTACAACAAAATAGTAAAAGATGTTCAAAAACCTCACAACTTGAATGTCTTGGAATAACTTTCGAATAGAAGACAAGCCTACATTTGCACAGAAATAAAAACTCATCCTTTACATGAACCTTTTGCTCAATACATGTACTATTGTTACAGAGCAATATTTTTTAGTTTTTAATCCAATTTAGAGAAGTACAGATGACCAGACGCCTGCAGACGAATCTATATGCCAAAATACAACATTTGAAAGAAAGTTCAGCCCTTCTACTTTGCATTGATGTGTCTTTTGTAACCAGTTTCATTGAACAAGCCGAAAAAGAGCTCTTTCTTTAGTGTCCATTCCATGAGACAAGTGTTTCCTTGAACTTCGCTTGCAAAGAATTCTGGGTAACGGAGAATTTTTTGGACAGAAAGTACCCCACACCTTCCAAATCATTTTTAAATCATTCTGCCTTAAAAACAGTCAAATTTAACCACAATTTTTCGTCGGTAAAAGGGTTAATCTTAACATGTTTCAGCATTACATTATGCCATCCTCAGAAGAATGAGAATAAAARTCGTTACAAATGATTATATAGTCTAGGTACAAATGATTGACATGTAATATAATATGAACTAAATGAACTTAGCGTAAAAATAACAAGATAACCAATACATGTTATCTGTTATCCCTATTTATAGATAATATGACAGCTACAGTTTAAAAGAAGTTTTCATATGTTTTACTTGAACGTTAAGTTCAGGTTTTAGATTAATATAAAAAGCTTCTTTAAGTTTGAGGAGTATTTTGTGCTTTGCAGTGTCTAAGATCTTAAAACAATTCAAAGAGTATTTATCACTACAACTTTTAGATTTCGTGAGGTGTTTAAAGATGTGAGAGTTTTTATCAGCAACAGTATGTTCTTTAATCCTTGTAGAGAAATGGCGCAACCGCACCACTCTCGACGAGTGTACGCCATAATYGACGAGCAGAGCAATGCAAGCCTGATCAGCAGTGAGCTAGCGGACTTCCTGGAAGCAGACGGCCCATTAGAAGAATACTACCTGTCCACCTGCAGCCAAGAAAAGGAATTAAACTATGGGCGTCGCGTAAACGATATCACTGCTTGCGGGCTCAGCATCCGACCTGCCGACAATGCTCAAGTGCGACACTATACCACAGAGCAAGCGTGAGATCCCAACACCAGCCCTGGCGAGGAGGTTCAAGCACCTAGAGTTGATTGCCGAAGAGATTCCCCCATTCGACGATACGGGGGCGTCCACGTTCTGATCGGGAGAGATCTTGAACACGATGCCTTCACCTTCAAGGTCTCTCTTCAAACCAAACCCTTCACACGTAGAGGTGTTCTCTCGATCGTCAATTCAATCTATGACCCACTTGGCTTCGCAGTACCAGTGCTCCTAGAGGGTCGACTTCTACTGCAGAAACTCGTAAGCATGGGAAAGAAGGAAAACGACACCCCGCTAGGATGGGACAAATAAAGTAATGATGAAAAACAGCCACTAACAAAAGAGCGATTTAGAAGACAAGAAGTATGTGTTGTGTAACAAGAGATCAGCTTCTTTTGAAATCAGGTAACCTAAAACACACACACAGATATGAATGGATGCACATATTATGGTCCAGACAAGTGCATGATTTTGGTCCCGTAAACTCTGTGACAAGTTGTGTAAGGTTTAGCGATTTCAAAGGGATGTTTTTCAAACTTCGCGGTGCATAAATAATCAACATTTGTATCCACAAGAACGGCCATTTCCTTACCAAGTAAAGAAACGTTTTCAATGTTCTTGACATTTTTTTTTTTTTATTTTCAGTTGCCTTTGTCGACGGCAGTCTATACGCTCCCGCAATAAACAACGATCGTTTGGACTTGAATGGAAAAACTTCAAGCCATAAGACCTCCACATCGTCAGATTCTAAATCCTTCCATCTGTATACTTGAAGCGAGTGTTTCACATAAACTAATAAACCGCCACCCGACTTTCCTATTCTGTCCCTTCGAAAAACTTTGTAACCTACGATACCATAATAGGCATCAGTTATCTTTGCAGAGCAGAATGTTTCAGAGAACTAGAATATCTGTCCCATAGAGCCCATGACTTTGTGTTTTCACTAAGACGTGTATTTCTTCGAGCTTACTGTTTGTTAGTTGTTCCACATTCCAGTGGGATAAGTTTAGACCCTTTTGCGTTTTTTTTAACACAGGTGATCCAGGACTGGGATTTGCGCTGATATCTCCAGCCAACATAACCAACAGGGATGCCACCAAAGTTTCTTTCCCCAAACATAAGCCAGCCAGAAGCTGGTAAGATGGTGAAGTCCGAGCTCTTGTAGAATACTGCCGAGAAAGACCCACAATTTTTTTCCAACTAATATCATGCTTTTTGTCAAGCCCGAGAGCCATTACAACCACAAAAGTGCTGGTTTGCTTCTGTTTGTTAATTAAGTCAGCCAAGTACGTAAAAACGATAAAAACGATAAAAACTACGGAGAGGCGACAAAACGAACTGCTTGCCATGATTATGCAAATCTCATGCCAATATGAATGTGGAAACCCTGAACTTTTGGCTGACAAAGTTTGTAGAGGAAGTGGTGAAGGAGAATGGCAAAGGGTTTCAAGGAAGTCTGTACTTGATTGTTGCGGGCCTTCAGCGATATCTTGATGAATTAAGTCAAAACGATAGAAGGTAAGATGTCAATAACGTTTTTTCTTACAAGTATATCTTATACACCGATGTCAATAAAATGGCTGCCTCTCCGAGAAGGAATGGGGCTAGCACGACAACGAGGCATTTTAGGATAAAACATGGAGTCTTCTGTGAACTTCTTGCGTGATATTTCTGGTTGTTCTTTAGATGGTTGAAATCCATCAATTTAAAAAAAACGATGAATTCAGATTTTGGCTAAGTGTCTGGGCAATCGGGTGAAAGTCTGCCTTTTTTAGATGTTGTAGTCTTGTGTTTGGATCACAAAGCGTGTAAACAAAGAATCTAAGTCGAATTGTTTAGCTTATTTAGCAGTGTTGAAGAATACATTTCCCAAGGAAAAGATCAAGAATTAGTTGATCTGGATCCAGATAAAATCTTTACAAATATAAAAGAGGAAGTTAAATAAAGCAGGAAAACTTCTTGATACTGTAGCTACAGCATCTGAGTCAACAAACGTAAAATACCCCGAAGATGGCTGGACAACTTCCCTTACAAAATTGCCTTTCTTTACCAAAGCAGAGACAGACAACCACATACGAGAGAGTGACAAAGGACTTGGAAGCAAGGACAACCATACTGTGCCAACTAGTTGGAGAAAGGGGAAAACTTTTCTCGAGGATGAAAACTTGAAGGATATTGAAACTACTTCTTTTTCTGCTGCCAATGTTATCATTCCTTCAAAAAGAGTGATAAACCTCACTGTCTCAAGCTGACTTTGAGTTTACTTTGAGTTTGATAACAGGAGAAGTTCTGCATTCTTGTGTTGCTGAGAAAACAGGATACTGCAGTCACTCTCTGTGCCTCATGCTGAAGTTATTCAAGTTTTCTATGTATAAAAGCAAGACCAATAAAATAGACCAATCAAGTGAAAGTGATGAAAATCCACAACTTGCAGGTACATCCAGCTTACAGAATTGGCACAAAAGAGGGAGAGGTGAAACTATTGTGCCACAACCCATTATGGATATTCTTGTCAAGAAAACTAGACCTGATGATGGTGAGCTTGAGGCTAGCATTAAATGAAGACCAAATCCACAAATTGATGAAAGTGAAGTCAATGAGTTCTTGCAAACATTTAAGTCCATCAACCCTAAAATTGGCCAAAATGGATTTCAATTAGCGAATAAGTCTGATGTTTTAATGGAGACAAGATATGGCAAAAGCCCCAAGGGTTCTTACTTGAGTTACCAAGTCTCTCATACAGAGTCAAACTTTACTGTAGACATAGACATAAGCAGCATTCCTCGTAAAGAAGAAACTGTGCCTGTAGAGGTATATCCAAGATTTACCCTCACTGACCTTGAGGAAAATGAGGACCATGATCTAACAGACTTAGAGCAAGAATTTGTAAGTTCTCTATCCATGCCTGAGGACAAGATAAATAAAATTGAAAGGAACACTAGGGGACAAGCGCATTATGAACAATGGAAATCTGAGAAAAAGTACAGATTCACAGCTTCTAAATCCAGTGTCAATTCAAATAGGAAAAGAATTCACGACACCTTGCAAATTTAATGTAACCAAAAGATGTAAAGTCTATCTACACTGCTCATATAATATATATATATATAATATGAGGGGATTGCAATCCATGAGTATTTGCATTACATGAAAAGCACCAAGAAACCAATTGAAGTTTATAAATGTGGTTTTGTTGTTTACAAGAAAGAGCCTATACTATACTGGGCTGCTCACCAGATGCCAAGTCATTGATTCTGGCTCAACTGAGCATTTTGGTATCATCCTCAGCAACACCTTGATCTTTAGAAAACCAATATTGAATATTTAGGCCATTCTCTCCTGAATTCAAGTATTTAAATGTTGCCTCGAATGTTTGTAGATTCGGTAATCCCATATAAAAACAGATCGATTGATCGTCAGAAATATTTTCTAGACAAAACACCTGTGGCTACTTAGCATACTTTTCATTGAGTTGGCGTGTTGCTGTAAATGCTTGATTTCACACAATGCATCGTTGCATTGGTTAATTTCTTCATTACAGGATTCTGTTGTTTGATATGTTTCAGACGACGGAGCGTCCTCAAAAATCGCTACTAATTACATTTGTCGAGTCGACGTCCAGCATTTCTTCATCATAATAGGATCCTTCCTCATAGAAGGAGCGGGTCGCTTTCTTGTTGAGGTGTACCACTTAAACTTTGTGGGGAAGACTTCATTGCACCTTATTAAAGACATTTTCCCTCCATAACCTTTCTTGATCTCGCTTGTTTCAAAGTGCAGAGACCATGCTTTTGTGTTGTCATTAAGATTAAAACGTTTGCCAGGATCTCTTCTGATCTTAGCCAACCAAACTTTCTTTAACGATGGCTCTTTAGGAAAACTAAAAATTAACTTATTCTCCATTAGGGCCAGTAGTTCCATTTTGGTCACAGAGAGGAATGCAACAATGTATATTTGATCGCGAAGCCATGTTTATGTTCTCTGCTGCAGCATCCTAAAATGCCTCGCTTGGGTGCTCGCCCTATTCTCCCTCCGAAAGCAGCCATTTTATTGACATCGCTGTATATCCGGACTTTTATACATGTAGGAACAGTTTTGAAAATTTAGAATCAGTTTAAATAAGAGATTGTATTAACACTGAATTGTTATGTTACAGGTTGAACATATTCAGACATACTTTGAATGCAGCAGACTAACAACAAGGCATTGGTATGCAGTGAAAAATGGAGGAACGCAATTTGTGATATAAAATACTTTCCTCGTAACCAGTGGGAAGCATCGGATTGGACAAAACATTTATGAATTACTAACGAATTTTTTAAGGTTGTAAATCTTGTTTCGTGCAAAATTTGGTGCTTGTTATGTTATTTGGATTGTGTGGTAGTGAGCTAGAAATTATAATGGGCCAAATGGAGACATCTTTTGTAGCAACTTTATGCACCTATATAGACACACTAAATAGAAATCAAAACTAGTGCAAGAGTGCAAAAATAACCTTTGAACTGTTCAGGACAATGACCAAAAACATAAAAGTAAGTAAAATACAATACACAAAAGCTTTGTAAAAGTTTTTTTAATTTTAAAGTTAGAAAGTTATATATTTTTAGAGGCCTGGAAATGAGGGACTGGGACAGAGTTTTGTACTTGAAATCGAGGTCCCGGGAAGAACCGTGAACGGCTGAATGGAAATATAGTTACTTTAACCTGTTTCTCTCATAATATTTTTATTATTGTTTTTTCAAATATTCTTCATCGTGAGTATAAAATTATTATCTTCTAAATCGAAAAATTCTATTGACAATGTTTTGAGAAAATGGAAACATTCGAAAACACACAAGAGTTTTTTCAGGGCAAGACCGTACCTTGGTTGAAACAATTTTTTGAAGATCGAGGAATTCAAATTTCGTCAGAAGGGAAAAACAAGTGAAAGGCAGAGCTTGTAGAGCTTTCTGTTAACGCTAAGAAGATGAAGTTGGGAAAAATCAAAGAAGGTGATCATGAAGAGAAAAGAGTTCTAATGTTAAAAGTGCGAACTAAAGAACATGGTGTCCTTCCAAATCCCGACATGATCAAATACTGGACAAACAATGTTTCGAAAATACCTGAACTTACTTTTCCTGACAAATACAACTATTTGATTGGGAAAGCAGAATATGACGAAGAGAAATTGAAATCTTTCAAAAACTTACAAGGATATCGACTCTTTAAGGATGGACATATCCTTGATTTAAAACAACACAAAGTTGAAAAAAAACCTACACATTTGTAAAGTTTAATGTAAAACCCACAGAGAGATCAAAAGGTGATGGTGGAAAATCTTTTTACGATGGTATTGCTGTTTTGAGAAGTGATGGATCAGTTCATGGTGCTTTCTGTCCTTGCCTGGGAGGGTAAGTCCTCTAATTTTGGTCAAAAGAAAACCCTTTTTTGTTAATGTCCTTTATTAATTATCATAGCTGAATAGCAAGTTTCATTGCTATTGAAAAAATATTGTGGTGGTTATGAACAATAAATTCAATAGTTAAATAATATTTGGATTACAAATTTATCTTTCAGAGCTGATGGTTCTTGTAGGCATGTGGCAGCATAGATTATGTCGTCTAAGAGAAACAGCAATCACTGATAATATCATAAAGGATTTACTAGGCTATTGCCCACTACCACCAGAAAAGCTACCTTATCAATTTGAATGGGGTCACAAAAAAGAAGGTTCTGCTTTAAATCTATACATAAAGAAAATGAAAAAGAAACACAAACATGTGTCTGTTTCTGACAGTGGGTTTGTTATAAATCCAACCTGGCCATATATTGGTGCAAGCCCTGATGGGTACAGATTTTGCAAATGCTGTGGAAAAGTTGTTCTTGAGGTCAAGAGTCTATATTCAAAGAGCTCCTTGCCTCCATATGTTTCTGCCCAAGAATATTTGTGCACACATCAGGATCGGAAAACACAGTTAAAAAAGAAGACAAGGTGGTACTATCAAATTCAAGGGGAACTTGCAGTTACCAAGCTTAAATGTGCAGATCTAATAATCTACACTAACAAAGGGATCTTGGTTGTTCCTGTAAAGTTTGACTCAGAACTGTGGCAATCAATCTTACAAAAACTGGAAAAATTCCATGACACTCCTATGATTCCTGAACTTTTAACACAAAATCAAAAAAAAATGTTTAAGTGAAATATTGCGTCCTAATGTAGATTTCCTTACAGATGGATATATTTGCTATTATTTTGCTGCTTGCTATTATTGTAATAGAGCAATAGCACTTTTAAACCTGTGAAATCTGACCATTAAACACTATTATTTTTAGATTTCTTTTCACAGGTTGTGGATTCCCTAAAAATAAATGCCTAAGTCTTTGAATGACAAAAGCTGAGTTTAAAGCCATAAACTTTTAACGAATACAAACATGGCTGAATATAAAATTCTCATATACAATGCATCCTAGATTACTTAAGTGTGAGATTGTGCTATTTATTTTGCCAGGGAAGGTAATAAGTTGCACAGGCCAGCACATACAACAACAAGTACATGATCAGCAACACCAACTGTAGATAATGGAATATTGCCCTCCAGAATCTTGAAGTTTTTAAGCCTCTCAATTTTCACGTTCCACATGAATGTGTGCTTTTGCAATGTTTGAAGTGTCCTTTGTGGCCTTTCTTGATAACTGTTTACCTGATTGGGAAATAAATGAAATAGCAAAATGCAAACTCACTACTATGACACATTTTGATATTATAAATGTATTTAAGTATTTTAAGCTCTATTTCATATTTTAACTTCCTTTTATTATGTACCTTGTGAGTGTGGTGGTATGTTCAATTTGACACCCTTTCTTGTTAGTAGATCCCTAATATTGAATCCCCTGTAAGCCATGACATCGTCCCCTTCTTCCAATAGCTCAATCAAACCGCTTTCCATTGTTATCTTTCTATCACTAGTACTGCCAGACCATAATTTGGATACAAAGGTAAATGATCCACGTGGAGCAATACCAACAAGTAGCTTCATAGTGTTGTGGTGTTTGTTTTGTGAACGTTATTGTAATCACTTAGTTTTGTTTGTATAGTAGCTTTAAGATGATTGACACACTGATTACGTAAGCATTATTGATATCAAATTTTACTAGTCACATGTAGTTAGTTAAGCACATGTGTGTAAAAGACGCTTCAAGATGCAGTTTTGTGGGAATCTAAACAAATGTAAGTACTTTAATTGATACTCGATTTAAGCAACGTTTAGGATAGAAGTAAGCATAATCATTTGTATTTTTAGATCGAATTATATATCCATATACAGATAATAAATGCGATATTAAGTGATCAGCCCATAAAGTCTACCCAGTCAACTGACGTCAGCGGTCTTGTCACTTTTCAAGCTGCCATGTTAGTTTGTGTAAGCACATGTAAGCAGTGTTTTGCTGATTAAAGCCTTAGTTACGGCAATGTCTCATGTTTCTTTCTCTACAATTTAATCAGCAAAACTCCATTGATAAAGTTTTACGGCCTGAGAGATTCAATGCAGATCCAAGCTCAGCTGGAGCATCAAAATCGTGGATTCACTGGTGCCGAACTTTCGAAAACTTCCTCGCCGTTTTAACTGAAGAAGACCTCGATAAATTTGGAGTTCTTACAAATTTTATCTCGCCTACAGTGTTCGAGTATGTGGAAGGATGTACCGACTACAAATCTGCAATCGAAGCTCTTCAGAATATTTATGTTAAACCTACCAACGAAATCTACGCAAGACACCTGCTGGCTACTAGACGTCAACAGGCGGGTGAAAGCCTAGACGAGTATCTACAGTCTCTGAAAACTCTCAGCAAGGAATGTAACTTCAAACCAGTCACCGCCACTGAGTATCGTGACGAATACATAAGGGATGCCTTCATTTCCGGAATACAGTCTAACCAGATCCATCAAAGGCTGCTAGAAAACAAAACCTTGCATTTGAAAACCATGTTTGACCAAGCCAGAGCACTCGACTCCGCTATGCGCAGCTCTGAAAGTTACTTTGCCCCTCAACCCATCACTACAGCAGCAGCAGCACCAGAAATAGTCTCTCAAAATCAGTCAAATCAGTCTCAGAATCAGTCCACACTCGCAGCAACAGATCCCTTGTGCTTTTTCTGTGGGAATTCTAGACATCCTCGTTCTAAGTGCCCAGCTAAAGATGCAACTTGTAATAAGTGCCAGAAGAAGGGGCACTTCACCAAAGTTTGTAGAGGGAAAGCCTCTACTAAACCCAACGAAGTTTCAGCTGCTCTCTGGTCACCTACGCTTGCCATTGTACATGTAGGAACTCCTTCGGCTCTTAAAAGGTCAACTGCTACTGTTGTTGTCAACAAGGACTGGAGAGTACAAGCACTCTTTGATAGTGGTAGCAGTGAGAGCTTCATTCATCCAAGCCTAGTTGAGGTAGCTGCTATCTCTGTTAACCCTGCGGTCAGCCAGGTCTCCATGGCAACATCCTCATTAAGCACAAAGACCCAAGGCTCTTGTTCTGTAACCATTAACTACCAGGGACAAACTTATAAAGATGTTCATCTTTCAGTTATGCCAGAACTATGCTCCGATCTGATTTTAGGACTCGATTTCCAGTCTCAACATGATAGTGTCACTTTCAAGTATGGTGGGACAAAACCACCGCTGTCTGTATGTACTCTCACTACTCTGAACATTGAGCCACCATCAGCATTTGCAAACCTCACGGCTGACTGCCATCCAATCGCTACAAAGTCTCGACAATACTGCAAAGATGACCTGACCTTCATTGAAAATGAAGTAGATCGGCTGCTCAAGGAAGGCATTATTGAGCCAAGCCAGTCCCCTTGGCGGGCTCAAGTAGCGATTGATTACTCACAAACGATCAATCGATTCACCCAGCTTGATGCATTTCCTCTGCCACGGATCAGCAATATAGTTAACGAAATAGCTCAGTTCAAGATCTTCAGTACCCTCAACCTCCTAAGTGCTTATCATCAAATAAGCGAAAGGAGGACTTTATATATCGACAACATAACCATCCGTGGAAGAGACCAAGATGACCATGATACCAACTTAAGAGCATTCCAAGAAGCTGCGGAAAAGGCCAACCTGAAGTTCAACGACAGCAAAAGCGTTTTCTCTACTCAAAGATTGCCATTACTGGGGTACGTCATTGAAAATGGTTGTATTAGTCCAGACCCCGAAAGGTTAAGGCCACTACTGGAGCTCCCTCTACCACAAAACTCAAAGTCTCTTAACAGATGTCTGGGACTCTTCTCCTACTATTCTCAATGGGTTCCTAACTTCTCTGACAGGATTAAATCCATTACAAGCTGCAAATCATTCCCTTTATCCTCTGAGGCAGAACGGGCATTTGAAGGGATAAAGAGTACCATTGCCAAAGCTGCTGTCTGGGCAATAGATGAAAGTGTTCCATTTGATGTAGAGACCGACGCTTCGGATGTGGCCATAGCTGCTACCCGCAACTAAAAGGGCAGGCCAGTAGCCTTCTTCTCACGCACACTCCAAGGTAGCGAACTGAAACACTCAGCTGTGGAGAAGGAGGCGCAGGCAATAGTTGAGTCAGTTAGACACTGGAGACATTTTCTTACTGGTTCTCACTTCACCCTGAAAACTGATCAAAAATCAGTCTCTTACATGTTCAATCAGCGTCATCAAGGAAAGATCAAGAATGACAAGATAATGCGCTGGAGGTTGGAACTGAGTTGTTACAGTTTTGACATTGTATATCGACCAGGCAGCGAGAATGTTGCACCTGATACCTTCTCGCGAGCAACATGTGCCTTCAGTGTTAATGATTCTCTCTACCAGCTTCATGATGCACTCTGCCATCCTGGGATCACTCGATTCTGGCATTTCATTCGAGCCAAGAATTTTCCGTATTCTCTAGACGATGCAAAGAGGACTGTGAACACCTGCCCCATCTGTCGTGAATGTCAACCGATATTCCACCGCCCAGAATCAGCTCATCTTATAAAGGCTACTCAACCCTTCGAACGGATCAACATTGCCTTTAAAGGACCACTTCCTACTAATAACAAGAACAAATACTTCCTGAATGCTGTTGACGAATATTCTCGATTTCCATTGTTTTCCCTTGTCCTGACGTGTCCACTCTGACTTTCATCAAGTGCCTCACTTCATTGTTTTCACTATTTGGTATGCCTGCCTATGTGCATTCTGACCGGGGGGCTTCGTTTATGAGTCAAGAGCTATGAGAATTCCTCACTAGCAAGGGTATAGCTACCAGTCGCACTACCAGTTATAATCCGACATGCAATGGCCAAGTTGAGAAGTACAATGGTACTGTGTGGAAAGCTATCACGATGTCTCTGAAATCAAAGAATCTTCAGACAGAACAGTGGCAAATGGTCCTACCAGATGTGTTGCACTCGATTCGTTCTCTTCTATGTACTGCAACTAATGAGACTCCCCACTAACGTTTCATGAACTTTTCACACCGTTCCTCTTCAGGCAGTTCGATTCCATCTTGGTTGGCGGAACCTGGCCCGGTGTATGTAAAGCGTCATGTACCACACAGCAAATTTGATCCTTTGGTTGAAAAGGCAGATGTTCTCCAGGCCAATACCCACTATGCTCACATTCGTTATCCTGATGGTAGAGAAACCACAGTCTCAACCAAACATCTTGCTCCTTAAGGTCACATGGCACCTGTAGAACCACACAACTCAAGTCAGGTTCCAATTGCTGAACCCCAGATTCCAAGTGAACTTCCTCAAGACAGAGGTCACCCTGATGCGGATAAAACTCCAGAACCAGAGCCCATGGTATTGAGAAGACCACAGAGAGAGAACGTCGCCCTGTGGACAGACTCGATTTATAGGAAGGGGTGAATGTAGTGACAATTAACAACCAATAATTGTTGTCCAGAATTTATACTTTAGTTAAAAGTTATTATTGTTGTTCGGGATACCTGTGTCGCGCCGCCGACACTTACGTCAGCGGTCTTGTCACTTTTCAAGCCGCCATGTTAGTTTGTGTAAGCACATGTAAGCAGTGTTTTGCTGATTAAAGCCTTAGTTACGGCAATGTCTCGTGTTTCTTTCTCTACACCAGGTTTTTGTTTAGATGGATCTTTTGATAATACGACTTTGTCTGTTTCTTTTTTATCCCAGTACTTCATTTTTTCTGCATAAGGAGATGTCAACTTTGATATAAGAACAAAGGTACGAAGATCTGGAAGACCTGGGTAAAATCAAATCGATTCATCATCTTGTAAAATACCTGTCAAGTTAAGCTCTCTTTAAGGGATTTTTTGTCATTTAATTTTTCAGTCAAGCTTTCACAACGATTGGTTGAGGCTTTGAGTTCACCTTCAAGTCTTTCTATCATATCGAGTGTAAGGTCGGTCTGACAAGCAGTGTTTTGAGTATTGAGAGGATATTTCGCGACTTCGTCCTCGCAATCCAAGTTAAGGTCTTTTACAATAACAGGGATCTGTACTTACAAAGTTCGAGTTCATAGATATCTGATGCTCTATTACATGTTGAGAATCAAGTAAATCGTCTTTTCCATTACTAGAGGGGATCCTCTTAATAGGACGGCATTCATTCTGGGAAATTGAACTTGAAGATTTTCGATTGTTTCTCGTTTTACTACGTCGAGATCGTTCACTTTCTTGGCTGTTTACCAGACAGATTAGATCCTTTAACAAGTGACTTTCTACCTGCGAGGGAAGTTTTAATATCACCAGGATCAAAATGAAGCGAGCAAATCCTTGGATCGACCAGTGTTTTGAACTCCAAATCTGCTCTATGACAAAACACTTTCCATACTTTCAATTGCGTAGAATTTTTATTAGGAAAGGTAAAATTCGATAAAGTGCCATTAGTGCACTGTCCAACAGAACAGTATTTTACCATTATAAAAACAAAAATAACAGAATGACAACTCGTCTAAAGCAACCATGTGTGTTTGTTTGTTTTCGTTCATAGTTCGTGGTTCTTCCCGGGGACATCGATTTCTCAAGGCCGCTAAAAATATATCTTAAGTGGGCTATTGCTAACTGCACTTTATAGTTAATTATACTCATTAAGGACATCCCAGGGCATTGCTACTGAGCACGCTTTCTGCGCATGTCAAAACCAGAAGTTGTCATGAAATTGCATCAAGCAAAAACAAAGATGGTGATCGTCTTTGTTATGTTTTTGAGGTTTTGTACGTACTTTTCTGAACTTCTACTTGAATGCAGTTTGTGTTTTTTGAACATTTTTGTTAAATCATCAAGTGTGGATTAAGTCATTTTAGTAATAAACCTAGATAACAAAGAAACTGTCAAATAATTGTAAGTACGCAAAGAAATTGTATCTATAAACAACAGATGTGAAGCCATGATTCATATTATGCAAACCACAACTCTCAATGTTGAAGTTGATTTAGATACTGTTTTAAGTTCTAAGTATAAAGGAGTGCAAGAAAAAATATAGTCCCTTTGATTGTGAGCTGAGTAGAGCTGGAAAATTCTACGACAGAGCCTTCATTGTTTCATTTGAATATTAACTTGGGTTCTCTATAAGCTAGGGTTAGCACCTCTGTGCAATCATTTCCAAAACGAATTGGAGGATCGTCCAGTCTTCTTTGCTTGCTTCGACCTTTGTGACTTAACGGTACGTCGAATCAAATTACAATTACTTTTCAAATAGAATTTTCCATGATTTTAAGTGGACAATTTATGAATACAGTTTTGTTTTTTGTTACAATCTAATTATTTTTAACTTTGATTTTTGACAACCAGGAGCGAGCACCTGCACTTAAAAGACAAGTCTAACCGCAATTATGTAACATTGGTACACATGGCCGAATGGAAGTGCATGCAATTTCTAAATCAGAGGTCTGAAAATCCAGACTCAGAGGAGATGACATTTCTTTAGATTGCTTTCTTTGCCAAAAAATAAACAAATAAATAATCAAATGTACAACAGGGAAACCAGTAACGATAAATTAATGAGTAAACTACTAGAAAACAATGAGAATAAATTCATAGTTCTGAATAGTCCTGAGGTAACGTAGGCTCAAGTTTACAGAAAACTGACTGACTGAGTGAGTGACAGACTCGTCCCCCTCCAATAACTCTTTGATTGCTTTGCAATCTTCTAATCCATATTTTTCTTATGAGGTTTAATATGTTTTAGTCCACTGAATAATTGTTCTTCTGTAAAAGTATGAACCTTATATATCCATGTGCTTTCCTAATTTTGAAGACTGTGATTGTTTGGCATCAAACACTTGTTGTGCTCAAGTTGGTGGTAGAAAATGCAAAATTTTGCATAAATCAGCCAATAATCTTGAATTATATACCTCCTTTCATGTAAGTTGGATAATAATCACCTTTCCATTTTGATTACATTGGGCGATAACATAGTGGATACTCCACGTCCTGAGGATGGGAGTAACCACAAAAATATGCAGTTAGAAAACTTGCTAAATCTGTGCCTTACCAGAGAACATTACAGTTAAGAACTTTCTCTTTTGGAGAAGATTTTTGTCAAACTCTATTAATTTCTTGGTTGGACAATAGTACAACAAATATCGCAAAAAGGATAAAAGCTTTTTGTCAAACCATGGCTAAATCCCTAAAGCATAACCAACAACAACCAAGACTGATCCGAGGATTAAATTGTCAGATCGGAAGGCCCAAAAAGATGACAAAATATGATAAAAAGATGCTAACCTTCTAAAAGGAATGAACCTTTGCATCCAATGTCAACTCATTTAAAAGAAACACTAAGCTGAAAAGGATTCAATTGACTGACCTTGTCTACCATGTGCACCTACTTACAATGCCAACATAGGTGCTGTGGATCGACATGATCAAATGGTGTGATCATATGCAACTGACAGGAAATCCAAATGCTCGTGGGTACTAGTAAATTTGTAAATTTCCTTGATGCCATTATGGTAAATGCTTATATCATATTCAAGGAAATTTTCAAGATTTTGAACAGTCCTCAGCCACAGATACCATCACAAATTCATGGCAAATGTCATTCACAAACTGATTGGTACCTTTACTTCATATAGTCGTCCAGGTCTAAGTCCTTCTTTGCCAATCACACCAGCTTATCAGAAGCAGAATGACTCTTTAAATATGGTAGAAGTTGGCCTTCCAAAGTTTTGTTCCATCAGTGCTGTATTGGTGCCAAACATTCAAAACATAAGGGGCCAGCATTTGGTTGAAAGATATGTATGAAGAGTTTGTGTCAGACCCCAAACCATATGGACTACCACAGAAAACGTATATTTATTAGGTACAGATTAGTATTTACATACCTTTTTAGGCCACAGAGATCTCTTATAATGCATTGATGTCCACTTTATTGCTTTATTTGTCAAGAAAAGTATAATAATTTATCAGCTTTTTCAAAAAATATTCTGAAAATATACTGTATATAGTAATTTAAAGTTTGCATAAGTCATTCAATACATATGCTAAAATTGAATCTCGTTATGTGATCTTTAATACAGTGGTATATTACTTGCCTGTTTTATATAATCTGTTAACACAACAAGGTCGAACATTTCATGTTTTTGCCGAAAAGTTCTGACAGAGTAAGGGTTAATGCGTTATTAACGTCCCATAAAATGCAAACACTTTCTGTGTTTTTTTTTTTCCTGTCACGTTCGGTATGTACATCATGTCTGAWTGTTGCCATRRCACATATGCCTMTACTTGTATATTGAGGTCTGTATGGCATTCCGGCATGAAGTTTATGTTAAATGTTAAAATGCAATATTCGAGGCTCAACTAACAGTTAAGAGCGACTGTCCAGAAAAATCGAGCAAAATCGAAAATATCCGGCCACAATGAAAATTTCAAATTCCTTGAAACTCAGATCCTGGACACCTTTCTGTGAGCCTACTAACGTGGTCAAATCGGTTTTTTGATCTACGTTGAAAAATTGGAGTTTTTGAGCAAAATTGGTTTTACCCCGATTTGGTCTAAAATTAGCATATGAGACCGCTGAAACTTGCAACTTTTTGAAAGTTATTTCTTCAATCAATTTAAATATTTTTGCACAATTTTTTTATAGAATCCGAAAGAATACATCCTAAGGAGTTGCCCGGAATCGGTTTTGGCTTTTCAATGTATTTTTAACGGGGAGGAAAAATGACTTTTGCTTGGCCGGTTTTCAAAGCTTGATTTGAGTTGAGATTTCCGAATACATTTTTCTCCATGTGGCCATTCTCCAATTTTTACCAAACTCACCCTGAATAAGGTTGAAATATCAATATAAACCGAGGTAGAAAAATATTTCTGGGTTTTTACACTGGCAGTGCGATAGCAGCGATCAAATATCACGATTTTTTGACTTGCAATATGCAAATTAGCAGTTTGTTTACATTTACTCAGATAGATCATTCGAATGAATTTTTTTCTCAAACATCGAAACCAACCAAATATATCATTTGATCGAATTAAATGAAGTTATTAGACATTTTCAAACAATAAAGGCGATTGTATCTTAACCTTTAGCCCCATATTTCCTTCTGACGGTTTCTGTGACGATCATTCCAATAGTTGGCCACTCAAAAATTCTCGAAATTAAACTATATTATTGTTTTACAAGATTGCCATAAAAAAATACAGCTTTTTAAAGCAGTAAATATCATAATAAGTAAAAGCGCAAACGTTATAAAGGAATTAAAGTCAGTTTTTTATTATTATTATTTATAAGCGGTACTTTAGTTTTGCTGGAATACAAAGTGCTCTAAGGGACCAGTAATATATTAGAAGGGAGGGATGGGAATGGGATTTTGACAAAAAAATAGATTGGAAAATGGGATCAGACAGCCCTCCCCTCTACTGAGGAGCTTCACAAAATTATGTAAAGATTTTTAAGGGTTCCTTTTTTTAGTTCATCCCATTCATCCCGTTCAGGTTNGAAAATATAGTATTTTGTTTCATAAGAATGGGTGGGTCATGTGAATTTGTGTTTGCAGTTTGAATGAGTCATGTAATTTTGTGCATTTGGAAGCTCAGGGCCAAACTGACAATCTGTCCAGGGAAATAAAAATGCACCAGTCCCTGATACCCCATCTAATATACGACCTGTGCCGTAAGCACAGAGATATGTATCTACTGCGATGTCAAAAAGATGATGAGGCAGTGTTGACGAAGTGTTAATGGGAGAGTGGCAGTTGGCAGAGTGCTATAACAATGCTAGTAGCTCTTGGCATGCAAGGCCACAAATTTTGTCCATACAAATATCTCCCTTTCGAGAATTTTTGAGTGGCCAACTATTTAGGATATCGTCACAGAAAGCGTCAACAGGAAATATGGGGCTAAAGGTCAAGATACAATCGCTTTTATTGTTTGAAAGTGTCTAATAAAGTGTCTAGTAATTACTTCATTTAATTCGATCAAATGATATRTTTGGTTGGTTTCGATGTTTGAGAAAAAATTTCATTCGAATGATCTATCTGAGTAAATGTAAACAAACTGCTAATTTGCATATTGCAAGTCAAAAAATCGTGATATTTGATCGCTGCTATCGCACTACCAGTGTAAAAACCCAGAAATATTTTTCTACCTCGGTTTATATTGATATTTCAACCTTATTCAGGGTGAGTTTGGTAAAAATTGGAGAATGGCCACATAGAGAAAAATGTGTTYGGAAATTTCAACTCAAATCAAGCTTTGAACTAAAACCGGCCAAGAAAAAGTCATTTTTCCTCCCCGTTAAAAATACATTGAAAAGCCAAAACCGATTCCGGGCAACTCCTTAGGATGTATTCTTTCGGATTCTGTAAAAAAATTGTGCAAAAATATTTAAGTTGATTGAAGAAATAACTTTTAAAAAGWTGCAAATTTTAGCAGTCTCATATGCTAATTTTAGACCAAATCAGGGTAAAACCAATTTTGCTCAAAAACTCCAATTTTTCAACGTAGATCAAAATACCGATTAGACCACGTTAGTAGGCTCACAGAAAGGTGTCYAGRAACTAAGTTTCAAGGAATTTGAATTTTTCACTGTGGCCGGCCTATGCTCGATATTTCTGGACAGTCGCTCTTAATCTGCGAGAAAATCTAGAAAATACAAAAGCTTGCCTTGGACAAATCGACAATTTACATGTAAGAAGATGCCAAGAGCAAAAGACAACAATAGTTACAACTTTAGTTATAAATTCAAATTGAGCACTCTGCTGAACAGAGCAATAATATTTCACATTATATTAAGTACATAAACATGTGCATTGGTTTGATGTTTAATATTATGTCATCTTTGCCCAAGATTATTTTAAAATTCCACAATAAGTTATAAGCTTAATATCTCCTAGAAAATTCACTATCAAAAAAACCCAAGACAATCCAAAGTAAAAATAAATTTTGCTAATATTATGTAAGCATATAGCATAGTAACACAAAAATCGCATCAGTTGTGTGGTTGTAATTTTTATAATCTTGAACTTCTTTTTTTAATATTGGCATCAGTTTGAACACATCAAAGATTCAGCATATTTTGATGATTGTTTTTGAGCTTTTTACCATCAAAAATGCAATCTGTTCTCTGGCATGCAATGTAACATGCTAGTACATTTTGTTCATGTAAAAGATTTCTATATCATTGATCATAATTTTCAACAACCAAATGTATCTGTTGGCTGTTTTTTAGGTATGAAGGTCAAGATCTTATATTTTATTTCTCTGTACAGTAAGATAGCTTTAAGTCTGTTTCATTTGATATTCCTTGCAAATGTTTTTTTTTTTTTTTCAATAGATTTAGTATTTTGGCCTCGCAAGACTTTGATATTAATTTCATCTTGATTTCCTCAAGTATGTTAAGGCTTGAGTTTTTCGGTCTTGACGCACGATCAGCTTGTATTGTCTGTAAAACTAGTTTTGTTTTATTGTAAAACCTCCTCAGTTACAAGACTTTTCTAATACTCCTTGCAAATGATTTTTTATTTTGTGCTTTTAGCCTTGCAATATTTATTATTGAATCAAACTTGATATCAAATTTCATTCTGGTAGTATTATAGACCATTATAGGGACTAACTAAYCCCCCATGMYYCYACTCTAWGCATATATTGCAAAACACAGATCACTGCCTGGGACGTTTCACCCTGCCTGCAGGGTTTCATTGCAAATATCCTCTGTACAATAGTTTGTTCTGTAATGTTTTGGACCGTGACTTTTTCAGTCAAAAATATATAAGTTTTTTAAAGTTTTCTCACTTGAGTTCAAAAGTTGTCGAGTCCAAAAATTTAAACATGGCTCACGTGGAAGTTTTTGAAGATTTAACGGGTCGACCATGCTGCATGACCAGCGCAGTGCGCAGTCGGAGATCTCATTGTGCTAAAACTCATTGGATGGCAGAGAATAAGAAAAACTTCAAAGAAACAAAACCTAATAAGTAGAGCACATAAAAGGAGGAGAAGAATTTGACGAGGATGAAAAGACAAGAAGAAACTCGTCGTATTTACCAAATGAAGGAGGATCAAGAACAAGCTGCTCTTACAAAAAAATCCCCTACGTTATTAGGTTCAATGGTCACACATTATCGTCTTGTCATTGTAAATATAACACCTTTCAATTCATCATGTTCATTTAGCATAACAGATTACGTGTCAACAAGTAGGTTGCACCGGGTGCGTTAGTGGATGGCGGACCGATGAGCGCGCCATTTTTACAACTCATGCAATTGGACCAATTTCAAACAATAATCACTTTATAAAGAACGACTTTTACTTAGCAAATGCACAAATTCAAATATTTAGCTACCTTTACCTTCTGTTCCGAGATAAAAATGGGAAGAAAGCACAATTGCTTGAAATACATCTCCATTGAGCTCCAAACCCTCCATGTTCAGTCGTCAAAATCAGCAACCGTGCACGATTGCACGATGCACGTCATTAGTCGTACCCAGTACTTCTACAGGACAACACAGGCCATCCAAACTATCAGAATCTTTGGAGTTGCACCGCTCAAGTGGTATGGAGGGATGAAATGCTTGTAAATTGTATTTTTTAAATTATGTTTATATTCATTTTTCATGTCAATCTTAAACTTTGACTTTGAACTTTGTGGAAATGTTGTATACTTTTGAACTTCTTTTTGGGGAGTTGATTAGGATTTCAAAACAAATAACAACAATCACAAATATAACATGACAGCTTTAATATCAAAATTAAAACCTCCTATACTTTTATACAAAGTACATGTTACATCAATAACTTTATGTGTTGTAAAAATATTATAAAAATATCATAAAAAATATTAATCTGTATATTTTATCAAAAATTTGCTTTGGGTTCCCTGTGGTAGGAAAGCGAGAGACTAGCACAGGAATCCTGGTTATTAAAAGATCCCAATATCCAGTAAAAACAATAGTCCTCAACTAGTGAAAAGCAGCAATATTTTTTGCATATTTTAAGCAATAAAAACATTTAGTTATTTAAATATTTCATTCATTTTTTGTCCAACTAGTATGGCAATATTAAAACAATTAGATCTCTAGGCCTCGTTGACTATGAGCTGATAGCCCATTCGGCTGATCGAGATCTAAATATTGTTTTAACAATTAAGTGAAGTAGTTCTGTGGGACCAAGCCTGCAGTGGCTACAGCCCTTTGTTACAATGTTTTTTTATATTTATTTAATTGACAATTAGAAAGACTGATCATTCAATAAAACAGAATGTTGCTATTCTGTGTTATGGATATCTGAACTGGTACTTTTCTATCCAGACTAAATAAAGCAAAGCACCAGCTAAGATTTTGACTGCCTGTTTCGTCTTGCACAATCCTTAAAAAACAAGAATACAAAGATGACATATACCCACAATCTGATTGGCTTTGTACACTTCTGAATAGACAAACTAACAGACGACATGCATAATATAATGCAGTCATACTGTAATTTATGTGTTCTCTGCTATATTGCGGTTAAAAGTTAGTTAACAGACAATTACAATTAAGTTTTGTACCTCTAAGCTTCCTCTGGCCCTTTGTAGCACTGACTGTGATTCCAACACTGAATGAAAAAGTACATAATTCAAAAGTAAAAACGCATAAAAGTGTCACTGACATTTCATTTCCTTTCATTATTTATAATACAATAGTCTTCTTCACTGTTCCCTGTGCCATCTTGAAAGGTAGCCGTGCCTTTGCATTGAAGCGAGACGACTGTTGAGCGTGCAATGATAGAAAGCTTCTTTCACATCTACAGACAATTATTCACAGGTATTTATTATTGCATGCTCAACGGTTGTCTCTCTTTGATGTAAAGACACCGGTACCTTCAAGATGGAGCAAGTAACCATAGGTCTTTTCTGAGATAGCAGTTTGCATTGCATTGTGGTCTAGATTCGGTACAAACATCTTTTGTTCGTGCTGCCAAATATGGCGTTGTTTGTACTGAAGCTAGACCACAATGCATCATGATTTTGTATTTCAGAAAAGGTCTATGTAACCATGTATTGCTTGCTGAAGTTTTGTTGTAGAAAATGTAAAATTTAGTGATTATTAATAATTACTGTTTAACCAACTGATATGATTGAAACTTACATCTGTCAATCAAATGAGTCTGTAAACCTTCCTTCTTTTTGGAACTTGCCTAAGGAAACAAAAATAATTTACTACAAACACATACTATAATAAGAGGAACTCATCAGAGGATTGAAACAAGTCACTACCATGCAATTCTTGAGTTCCATTCTATGGAATAATCGATTTTTCCAATCTCAATTAAATATACCATCTTTACACTTTTAAAATACTACAAACTAAATACTTATAATGAAAAAATATCCTATAAAAGCCTAAGGAAATTTGGTAAACTTTTGATTTGTAGTTGCAATTGATATTTTGAATAAGAACAACCAATTAATATGGTGTTTCAAAATAATCAATTTGAATATTTCATATCATTGAACCATCTGGTAAATATAGCTAAAAATACACACACAAGCAGATATCAAATGCATGTCACCGCATACTTCAAGCTGAAGACTTGCTCTCTTTATGACGTCTTCTTGATGAGCAAGTTTCTTCTTCAGTTTGGATATTTGTTGTCGCAATGTAACATTCTGCAAAAAGAACCATTGTCAGGGGTCATCAGTGCTGACAATACTCCAGTTTCGAATTCAAAGCGAATAACCGCTGTTTTATTTGACAGCAGATTCTATTACGCAAAGAACTTACCAAAGACAAAAGAAAGCACAAGAAAATGTTGTTAATACAATAGAGCGCTAAGAATCTACATTTTCCCCGAGTTGAGGCTAACCCTGCTCATACCTTAGGTCTTATGGGAATACAGGGATAATCTCAACTCGGGGAAAATGCAAATTTTCAAGTCTATTGTAATAACGACATTTTCTCGTGCTCTCTTTTGTGTTTGTAAGGTATTTGCGCAAGAGAATCTGTTGTCAAATAAAGCAGCGGTTATTCGCTATGAATTCGAAACTGGAGTATTGTCAGTTTCCGAGGCTGCTTTCTTTGAAAACTTTTTGGAATTGTAAGAGAATTTGGATATGATTTCTAAAAAATGTTTATCACAGTTTTTGAGTTTTCACACAACACTAATATGACCTCCTCCAGCCTTGCAAAAGGATTGTCTTGTTTAGGCATGTAACAAGTAAGGATTTTGCCTTATCAGCCATGTTTGTAAATAGCACAAATGATGTTGATCAAACCTCTTTTGAAGGTATACTTTCTTCTGTGTATGTTTCTGGTCTGTCATCTATTATAAATGTACTCAGTAGTGACTTGCAGTCAGTTGCCAAGGTTTGTATATTACTGACTTCATGCCTCACCCACAAACACTGCAGTAATAAAAACATATTCAATTAATTGCATGCAATATGTACATTTATCATACTATAATTATCTAGGAAATACCTATATTTCTCCATTTTATAAAATTGATATTTTCACTAACTAGTGAAAATAACACATTCGAGTTTTCTCTATATAATGCAAGTAAGAAAAAAGGTATTTTACGACATGATTTGCTTTCATATAAAATTATAATGATAAATAGAATATTACATGTTCGATTGGGGACTCGAATTTTATCTTCTCATGTTGAAAATCCTCACTCGTGAGAGATCTTTTCAACACTTGAAGATAGAATCCATACCTCCGAGCGCCCATGTTATATCCTCTATGTATCACCATAATATAATTATAGTCTGCTACAAGTTTCTGAGGCATTGAGAGAAACCTCTTAGTTTGTATATGATTCATAAGGATGGCCAAGGTTCCAGTGTCAGGGGATTGTCAGTTTCATAGTCTGATGGCAATGTGCAATTGCTTTAAAAGAAAGCTTCTGTAGAAATACATCTATCACAGATTATATAATATTAGATAAGTTCAGGGCTTGAAATAACGGCCAGACATATGCAGGACAAGATGTCCTTCGAAATTAATTTTTGGAAGGTCATGTCGAGTTTTGAAAGGACAAAAACTTTATTATATTGTTATTTTCTTTTAATTCATAGGTTTTTGTATTCAGAAAGATCAACAAGCATTTTAATAAATGTCAAAGATTTTTTAAAGGAATTGAGAACTGATTTGTCTAAAAATGTGGCAGGTCCATCTGTCCTTTCAAAACCCGATTTGGCTGGTCATCTAGAGAATTTTGAAGGACAAAGTCCTTTGACCGGCCATTATTTCGAGCCCTGTAAGTTGTAGATTCAGAGCAAATTTGTGAAGTTTTGATTTTGTACAAATTCACAGATTAAATGTGTTTGCTTCAATCCTTATTTCAATTGTTTTAGCAATTTGGCTTGATTCTTCTTAGAGACATACCAAAACTTGTTAAAACTACTGTGTAACAATATAAATTATGGCATTAATTCCTTTTTTAAAAATCGTACCTGGCCATCACTTTTTATCTGTCCCAGAAGTTTAGTAGCTTCATTGTTAATATACTCAACCTTGTTCTGTAATTCTATGAAATCTTTAACATGTCCATGCACTGATAGACCTGTAAAGTCAATTGTAAAAGAAATCAAGACCATGACAGTGCAGATAAAACGTACCAGTAATGTCTTATTGCAGCTATAAAGGTACAGATCATGATTATTATTACCTCAACATTATGCCAATTTGAAAAATGTAAGTTTAGAGATTTATAGAAAAAGTCCCAAAGAACATTAGACACATTACTATATCATTGATAATGTTAGCATTTGCACACACTAACTTACTGTAAAATAGCCAAGGGTAGAGAAGAGAGGAAGACTGATTGGTAGGGACATGATGAAAGGGATGGAAACAAAGAGCCAATGAATGACCAATGAAACAATGACCCTCACCTGATTTTTCATTATTCATATTTTCATCCATGTCCAATCTCCTTGTCACACTAGACAGGGAAGGCCTTGAAGACTGGAGAGAGTCTTTCATTGGTCGATTAAGCTGTTCCTCAAGTTTTTCCCTCAATGCATTATTGGTAGTAATACTTTTCTCAAGCTGCTGCCGTAACCTTCTTATCTCTGCAAGTAGGCTCAATACTGCATTGTTATCAAAAGCACTTGGACTCCTTGGACCTTCACGGACATAACTTGTATCTGAATCAAACAAAATACAAATTACTATACAACAACTGAATTAGTTAAATGAAGAAATGTATTGATGATACATTAATTATGGCTACTGGATATAAATCACTTTATATAAAACAGAAATTCATTAATTATAACTACCAAGAATAAAGATCTACGTAGAATATTGCAAATCATTTGATTCAAAATTTGATTATTTTTTGCCAAATGTACAGTGTGATTTTTATTCAACCAATATTTTATCATCCATCTGTACAATACATTTAACTATCAATTAATATAATTCTATTCTAATACCATGGTGTTCAGGTATTTTGTAAAGCTGTTCATAGATACGCAGTTCATTCTGGAGATTGTCCATAGCCTCATGATTATCTGCCACTTGTTGGCGAAGTGCATTCAGTTGACTCGCTTCCCTGAAAGGTAAAGTGAACAAACTAATATTTGAATTGACCAACATAATTTGAGCACAATGCAGGATGGACAATATACTGGCAGTTGGATCTATTGATTCATTATATAGAATCCCAACAAAAGATGAACAATTAACCCATATACCAGTAATAATAGTAAACTGCCTTTGTTTTACTTTTTCTCCATTGAAGTACAATATGATATTTACATTTCTCTGATCTTAGACATTTCTTCAAGTTTTTCTTTTAGGTCATCATTTGCCTTGTCTTTGGCCAAAAGTTCAGCTCGTAAACGTTCATTATCATTGATATATTGTAATGACTCTTCTGATGAAATAACAGCCTTGGCTCCATCAATGTCTTCACCTGCCATACGCTTTTCAAGCTGAGCCCGTAGTTTGTCATTAGTGTTAATACTTTCTTCTAAGCGCATACGTAATTCCCGCATCTCATTCATATAAGCAGCAAGGTCCATTTGTTGAGTTGCTGTTTGGCTTGCTGTAGTGTCTTTTTTCATTCTGTTATAAAGTTCTAATTCATCTTTCAATGTTGTGGCATATCGCTCATTTTGTTTTAGTTTGTTCCTCAAGAACTGGTTTTCAGCCATTAATGTTTGGTTAAGTTTGTGCATTTTCTCAATGACACCAGTAGGGGAGACCTCATGTCTAGGTGGAGTGATCTTACGAGTCACAGCTGGTGGGCTTGAAAGACTAGGGCTGGTTTGAGACTTACTCGTATGTTTAGCTGGTGAAGAACGCAGAATGTGAATTTCTTGGTTAAGTCTGTCAATTTGTTGTTTTTTGTCATCAACATCAGACTTCAACCTACAACAAACAAGGACATTGATCAGTCACTGTTACCATTACAATATTCACACACTTCAAGAAGGGCGGATCCAGGGAGCGGCAAAAGGGTACTATTAATCTAGCTTATAGTCCCTTGGTGGCACATAAAGCCTCCACAGACATTCTCCATAGTTTCCTACAGTGTAATAGCTGCCACAGCCCTTACATGACTTTCCATAAATTTTACAACCTTTTTTTTTGCAACCTACAACTACAGATATGCAATTTGGCAGCATTTTCACCACTAGCTACTTCAATCATTAAATATAATGAAAGATTTAGATTTTGTTTGGAACAAAGTAATGATCATAATTAAAAGATGAAAGTCAAGAATAATTTCCAGACCTACAAAATGTAGAAAACTAAAATACGAAATTCCATGACTTTCCAGGTTTTCCAGGACCCATACAAACCCTTTCATTCAACCAGAATACAATCTAAAGCTGACTGTTGGTTTCATTTTTGAAATTGCAATCATGGTAGTGTTGATACTTACTGCATGTTTTGTGACTTCAGTTTTTCAACATGACTCAAGACATCTGCTAACTGCTTTCCTAACTGTTCATTCATGATCTGAGATTGCTTTAATTCTCTCTTAACAAGTGCCAACTCGCTTGAAGTATTTTTCACTTCCATCAATTTCTGGTTCAACATCTGGTTTGAATTGTAAAGTTCTTGTAATTCATTTCTCAATTTATCAGTTTGTGCACTGTGTACAGAATAATGCAGGTCTTGGATTTGTAGCGGGGGAGATTGGTGTTTACTACTTGGTTTGCTATTGGTCATGATGTCCATTTCAAGTTTTTTCTTCAAATCTTCATTGAGTTGGATACCTGTTTCATACTCTTTTCTTAGTTTTTGCATGACCATGTCATTATCCAGATGTGTTGAATTTTCCTTGAAAACATAGTAGGTAAAAACATGTTATTGATATTCTGAAATGAACATATTTTCTGAGAATATAGACTGAGCTACATCGTGTATTTCCAATAATTCTGACTCCCCTGCATCAAAGTTCCTGCATCAAAGTTCTGCTTTTCTTTGTTCTGCTCTGCTTTGACTTAGGGCCAGTTATTGAAAGAGTGATAGCGCTATCCACCGGATGAAATTTTTTCCATCAAATAAAATTCTTACAAAAAATATATACATGTAGTAGATAACTTTATCCATCCTTTATTCAACCGACAAAAACATTATAATTTAAAACATACTAGTCTGGGAAGTAGGTCCTGCCTTGAAGAAAGAACTCAAAATCATTTTGTTTCTATCAAACAAAACTATAGGAATGAAGTCAAAAGAAAAGGTCTTTTGCATCTAAGAGTGACATGGTACAAAGTCAGCCATACTGGATGCAAAAGTTGGATGTAAACAACCTCAAAAACATAAGGAACACAGCATTTCAAGATTGACATTTTTTGTATTTAACATGCCAGTGGGTAATTTGCCATCCAGCATGGTGGATTTAGTACCATGTGACCATTTCATGCAAAAGCCTATTTTTATTGAAGTAAATACCAAATTTCTAAGTCGTTGTATTTCTTTATCCTTTTCTTCTAGAAGTCTTTTATAGTTTTCATTCCACTGCTGACTTTCAGCAAGCTGCCTGGACAGTTTATTAGTGCTTGATTTATCAGCAAATGGAGAGGTCTGTGCAGCCATTTCATTCAATTCAATACTTGCTGCTGCCCTTAGTTGAAATTCCTTCAGTTGACCACGAAGAGAGTCTACTTCTATTTCCCGTTCAAGAAGGATATCTTCAAAATCTCCATTAACATTTCTAGCATAGTATTCCAGTTTAACATTAGCATCCTTCAACCTATTGTCAAGTTCACCAAAGGTGTGTTTTGCAGTATCTAGTTGTCCGTGAAGGGTTGTGATTTCAGAGCTTAGACGATTAATTTCAGCATCTTTTTCTGCTAATATCTTTTGATTTGTCTTATTAACTTTGTCCAGCTCAGCATTCAGTCTGTTGTTTAGTGTTGTGGTCTGATCAAGACTTCTTGTTAAGTTATGGACTTGCTGCAAAAAAAAACACCATGAAAGTATTGTGTTGGTTCATGGACTTACAATAACTGTTTGCTTTTGATTTCATCTGATGCTCCAAATCCTCTCAATTCTCAAATTGAGCTTATTTCTCGCTGAATTTGAGGACAAACATAATGCTTCACACATTATTTCCTGCAGAGTGTCTTTTCTGGCCTTCCAACCCTCCAAATTACTATTTATAGTTTATAACATCATCTATTAAAACTTGGTTAAGTAATAATTATTATTCTTAAGGAATCAAAAACTGCTGAAAGTTTAGCTTAGTTTTCTTAGTTGGGCTTGTTTAAAGTAATGCAACCATATTCTGCAAATTTAACAAACCTCTTCAAGTTTCTGTGCAGTCTCCTTGGCTTGACTTTCCTCAGCTTTTGATTTACCATCAACCATAGAGTGATTAAGGCGAGCCTGCAGTGATGCATTCCAGCGCTCAGTGTCCTCCAGTCTTGACTTCAGTTCTTGAATTTCTCTCTGGTAAACAGCATCATATGGTGAATGTGGGGGGACCACTGGGGATTTTTTAGTTTGCTGTGAAGTTATTTGGTCTTGGAGCTGGTTTCTGAGAACTGTGTTTTGATGGATGCCATCTTCAAGTTGACTACGCAGAGCTTTAAGTGTTTGGAGCTCACGAGAAACAGCTGAACTGCTAAGCACAGAAAAAATAGTGTTATTGAGAGGATAAGCAAGCATACAGGAGAAATTGAAAACAATGAAAAAATGTAAAAGACCTTTTATTGGCATCAGAGTTTGGTGATCTCATGTTTTGCACAATATTTATATACATCTCCCTCTCTTTCATCAAGATGTCATTGAGTTTGACTGTTTCTTCAACTTGACCTTGTAGCACTTTCTGTAGATATGGAAGTTCCTCTTCCTTCAAATAAATATTGAAAGACAACTGAATATATTATACAACTAGTACTACAATGTATCAAACTAAAGCATGAACACAAAATTTACTATGAGTACTGATTTACATGAATGACATTGATATTTACAATAATCAAAAGGGCTGCTTATCTTGACATTACAATTTGTTCGGTTTCATGACTACAGTTATTGTATGAAGAAAGTTGCATGATTGACAGTTCTGCTTGACATTGTGTAATGCATTCATTTTAGCTGTGAAATTTTGTGGAATGCTTATGATATGATTTTATTTAAAAATAATTCAAGATTCAAGTAGTTTCAAATATAAGATTCTGTTGCTTATGTATAAATTAATAATATGAAGACTTAGCAAATTAACTTGGAATATGTGATAAAATGACTTTTTATGTGTCAATTTGACTGGGAGAAATGTACAACAACCCCTACACACACAAAAACAACAACAAAACTAAGCTTTGAAAATAAGGTGTTTTATGCAAAGAATGTGAAAAAGGTAATGCATGAATTAACAAATAACAGTAAAGGAGCAAGACCATCAGTTTTTCACTAACCATTTGTTTTGCACGAGCCCCAATGTAGGTCTGCTCACGCTGTGGAGTTGATAGCTGTACTTTTGCTCTCAGCATAATAACTTCTTCCCTAAGCCTGCTCAACTCCTCCTGATCCTGCCTTAATGGTGACTACAAAGAACAAACATTATTGACAAACATAACTACAATATGACAACTGATGAACATCAATTCATCACCTGTGTTTTAACCCTGCTTTGTACAGTATCTAACTGTCTTTGTAGTGAATTGTTCAGCTCACTGCACTCACTCAGCTGCTGTCTGAGAGCATCATTGGAGGTCTGCACAACAAAGCAGTCAACTGTGTTAGTACTAAGTAGTAGTCACTGAAAAAGTTGAACTCTAAAGATGTCAGTATATCAAAAATACACTGTCTTTCAACTACATGTAGATAATTCCAAAAATAGTGATAACTAGCGGTAAACTAGTGTGAGCTGCTTCGGTGCTTCTAAAGAAACACTTAATATGTAGAATACTATATCAATTTAACACCGTGAAAAAGTAGGTGAAATAACTTGCTGACATTTCGGACGTTAAACCTTAAAACAGGTGACAACTGTATTCTAAAAATATCTTTATTTAGTTACAGTTACCTCAAGGTCATGGGCCTTTCTCTGATAATATCCAACATTATCTTGCATGTCTTGAAGTTGCTTTTTGTGTGACTGCTGCATTTCCTGTATATTATCATCATTGGTTATAGTTTATACTACTAACAGACAATGATTTCAATTGATGATCACTACCTGGATCATTTCATCTTTGATGTGGGCTGCATGGGACAGCATATCAATGTTGTCATGTTTGGCCTTTAGTTCTGCATCATATTCTAGTTTATTCTTCTTTAACACAGCCTAAAATTGTTAGTCATGAGATATCTACATTCTACAAAATATAGGAATAGTCTCCTTCACGGTTACCTGTGCCATCTTGAAAGGTAGCCGTGCCTTGTCATCGAAGCGAGACAACCATTGAGCGTGCAATGATAGAAACCTTCACACCTATAGACAATTATTCACAGGTATCTATCATTGCACGCTCGACAACGGTTGTCTCGCTTCAATGAAAAGGCACAGGCTACCTTTCAAGATGGCGCAGGTATCCGTGAAGGAGACTATTTCAGAAAATGTTGAACACTGTATACTGCATAGTGCATTCCAAGAATGAAATGCATAGTTCAAAAGGATTTTTCATCAGTCATCATGACAACTTCATACAGTACAATCAAGAACTTCAATGGAGAAGCAAGTTTAGAATTGTCAATGTAACACAGCTAATGTGGAGTTCTTTATTGCAGTCTTGGAATGCTCTAAGTATGCAGTATCACAGTATTCAACATTAATTAATGAAGTACAACAAAACATTAGGTTTTAGTCTGATGTTAAATTGACAATATCATTAAGTGATAATATGGATGAAACACTGATTCCATTATATATAAAGATAGAATTATGAGATCCAATGACATGTCATGCACATACCAATTCCATCTGTGCTTGTTCTTTGGCTTTCTGTGCTTCCAAAAGTGCCTAGAGTACATGAATAATGTCAAGAACTGTACATCATTATAATGATGAGTCACTAGTTGTATGTTGACAAAAGCAACAATATGTGTTAAAATAGAACAAATGTCAAGGTTGTCTTTCAGAGATAATAAGTGTTCTCTTTTTGGATGTACACAGACCAGAGGATGGTGGGTATTGACCTCATAATTACATGATACCCTTCACAGTTGGTAAAATTGTATGTGATGACCGTATATGCAGTATTATCATCATGGATACTTTTCAAGAAAAAAAATATATTACTTTAATTACAATAAATTATATAAAATATAGGAATATATATGATATCAAAGAGGTAAGATTTTGCTTAACTCCGAGTTTCGTGCTACGCACTCATCAGACAGTATTTAATACTGTCTGATGAGTGCGTAGCACGAAACTCGGAGTTACAGCAAAATCTTACCTCTTTGATATCATATATATAACTAGCTCTACACTTTTTGTGTATTGAGCACTCTTTAATGGGATCAGCTACTTCCTCATACGATTAGAATATAGGAATATAAAGTTTACTTCTTACTTGATTTTGTTCACCAAACTTTTGCTTGAGATCCTTTCAAACATTGTAATATTATATCCTCATTAGAAAGTTATATATACAACAAGCAACAATGTCTGACCTATAAAGTTATCACTATTTCCAACAAATGTAATATATTCTATCAACAATCAAGAGATCACAAGCAATTCATCAAGTACTGCCCATCCTAGCGAAGTGATTTGTTGTAATGTTGATTTTGATCTATTGTCATAGTTTATAAAATAAAGTCTKATTTGTGCATATTTACCTCTATAATTGGCATTGTTTTGAGCTTGCTGTGAAGATTTTCTATTGTCTCTCTAAAATGAAAAATAATAATTCTCTAGTCTAAGTATAGTTTCTGGAGATACTGATAATGATGTAAGGGCCATAAATAGCGCAACTCTGTTAAATACATATCAGTATATGGTAGACAGGTGGTTCAAAGACAATTAGCACAACAAATATAATCAATACAGCCTCATTGGAGCAATACAGCTTCAATGATCTAGTTTGCACTGGTAGTACCCTCTCTGAACTGGAAGTTTGCAATAAAAAGAGAAGCAATTTCCTGATGACTGAACTTAGAGGAAGTCTCAAGAAAGACAACATAAGTAGTTATCATTCATAGTATGTTGATTCAGAAAATATGTCTTCCATATGCGAGACGTTCCAATACCAACATTTGAAGAGCTCAAGTACATCTAGTTCACGTTTAACAACTTACTTTGATTGTTGCAGCATTGTTTCCTTAGCTTTCAGCTCTTGTTGAAGATTTTGGATCTTTAACTGATTTGCACTGTCAACATTCTGCAGAAACAAATATTATGGGATGAAACCTTTTTGCTTTCTGCCAATCAAATGGTACAAGTTATAGGTGTAACAGTTATCCATGCTAATCTCTCTTGTTCTTCTTCCTTTGCCCCCTAGTATGGGCAGGGACACCGCAACACCGTCAGCCAATTACTGCGGACCCTGTACTCTCACACTCACTACCTCTAATTTAAGTATTTTTTTAGCACAAAACACTCCTCACATGTTGATTTTTGCTGAGGGAGGAAAACCGGAGGACCCRGAGAAAAACCCTTGTGGCAAGGGAGAGAACAACACATCAAACAAACTCAAACTCACATATGTTCCGTGCCCGGGAATCGAACCCAGACCACCGTGAGAGGCCAGTAGCTTAACTACTTGGCCACCCATGCCACCCTATTTCTTTATTATAAGTAATAGCATGGCTCTGAGGGACATTTAATCCCTAATCTCCCGAGGAAGCCATGCTATTACTTTGTAATACCATGATTTCCGAGGAAAAAATTGAAGTTGAACTTGAGCGAATTTGAATTCTTGTTTTTTTGTATGCTCCAATGTTTTCAATCAGAAGTAATATAAACATTGCAACAAACAATTCATGCATGAATTGGAATATGACATGAAAAGAAAGGATACGCACTGTTCTAAGAGTATCACTCGCCGAGCAACAGTACAAAATGATATTGATAATCCGACCATTGTTACTGATTTCCCACAACGAACTTTGTTTGAAATTGCTTTTCAGTTCTATTCAATGCTGAAGTTAACGAACCTTAACTTCAACCGCGAAAAGTTGTTTTTATATTTGCAAGTATAATGCCAAGAAGCTTATCAACTATTATCAAACATTGAAATTCGTCAAGTGCACATGCTCAGCGGTACGAAGTAGATACTCGGAACCAGAGCTACTCGGTCAATTTTTCCCAAAAATTATCCCACATTTCAGTGTGAATGAGACGATAACCAGACCGTTCATAGCAGAGGTAAAAAGAAGACAGCTGTAGGGACATTCATTTGTCCCTGCTGGGAAGCAAAGGTTTCCTTTGCCTTCCGTTCCTCATGAATAACATGAGGGACGATTAGTCTAATCGTCCCTCATGTTATTATGCATGAGGGACGATTACTGGTAATCGTCCCTCATGTTATTATGCATGAGGGACGATTACTAGTAATTGTCCCTCATGCTATTCATGAGGGAGGGATGTTCGCTTGTAAACATCCCTCGGAAGACAAAAGAATCCGAGGTGATCATGGTATTATAAATAATATCATCCCATCTCCACCCAGCAAGTGTCAACCATTAGAGAAACATAATATCAGAAGAATAAAAAACACAGTTCAGTTCGTCACCTGCAACTCTTCCTCAGAGCTTTTCAGTTTTCCTTTGTATTCTTCCTGTAGCTTTTTTATTGCAGCTAAAAAGAAAGCTCCTGTCAACTTTGAGCAATGTGAAGGCATTGTTTACTGAAAAGGTCTTCATGTGCTTTGTATTTTTTTGCTTTATACAGTGTATAATACTTAGATCACAATTTACTTCAACAAAATAATGCCCATCATGCTATATATACTGCATGCAACCTTTTTGCTAAGGGAAATTTTAAATGTCTTAAAAAATTGGATTAAAACCAATTCAGAGATTACCATGATGCTACTTACTACAGTAGCTCAATCATACAATTATGTGTTATGTGAAATCCCCATATTCATCCCTTGATACCACCAACAATGTATAAAACTGTGTGTTATACTCACCTTTCTTACTCCTTAATGCTGCCTCAAGTTCTTGCACAGTTTGCTGTAGTACAGCCTTAAAAAAAATTGTTAGACATCATTTCCAACTCATTAATTATTCCTGAGTAGAGTAGCCAACTCACATCTTGACTCTGAAAACATTGACTTTGATATTTCCAAAGTCTAAGGATAATTGGAAACTACACTAGAAAACTGGAAACCAGAAATGTCTTTTTTTTTCAAAACCTTTGGAAGCACTCTTGTACGTAGCTATTGTACATCAAATAGATGTTTGGTAAATCAAAAGAAATATTACATGCATTTTACATGTACATGACATTGTGCAAAGGAACACAGGCCTCACACAAAGCTACAGAACCCAATAAAACTATATAATAAATTACAATCATGTATTTACCACTTCTGTTAGATTCCTCTGCTTTTTTGGTGTCCTCAGAGATTCCTAAACAAGATGAACATACACTATTAATAATTATATATAATGTGAGTAAATACAATATTGACAGGCTAAGCTGTTGTCGTTCACACACCTGTAGGTCCATAAGGAGCTGATCTTTGTCTTTATTTCCTTCGACCAATTGCTGATAAAGACCAAGTTTTGCATTAGTGAGAGGCGAGGACAGGAGAGGTTTCAATACTCCATTATCGAATTCAAAGCGACTAACCGCTGTTTTACTTGACAGCATATTCTATTACACAAAGAACTTACCAAAGACAAAAGAAAGCACAAGAAAATGTTGTTAATACAATAGCGCTAAGAATCTACATTTTCCCCGAGTTGAGGCTAACCCTGCTCATACCTTAGGTCTTATGGGAATACAGGGATAATCTCAACTCGGGGAAATGCAAATTTTCAAGTCTATTGTAATAACGACATTTTCTCGTGCTCTCTTTTGTGTTTGTAAGGTCTTTGCGCAAGAGAATCTGTTGTCAAATAAAGCAGCGGTTATTCGCTATGAATTCGAAACTGGAGTATTGCATTAACATTGTTCAGTTGTAAAGACATAAATATAAGAAAACAAAGTTTTTTTACATTATAACGCATCTTTTACTGTACATTGTTAATGGGATTTACTGTGTATCTTAACCACCAACCTCTATCACTTTGTCTTTCTCTTTAAGAGCTGCTCTTAGCTTCTTGATTAACCGTTCTTGTTCTTGATTCACCCAAGCTTTGTTGTTTTCTGAAGACTAAATCAACAACTCTGGATAACTAAAAATTCACACACTCATGAAGGCTGTACTGTAGACAGCCTAGTCTCCTCACAGCCGTTCTTACTCAGCCTGCCACTAAGTGGCTGTGAGGGGACTATAGACAACTCATTTGATAAGATATTATTTTTGTTAATACATAATTTGACTGAATCGTGAGCTTGGAGGACTGATTATTATAATAGTTGCCTTAAGTGTTTACTTTCTTTGCATGCTCACAACTACCTTGTGGTGCAAGGGATTCTGATAGGGTAACTTATCAGCTTATCGTTCTTTTTCAGTTTTGTCCTCTTATTGCTGATAACTACAGCGTTTTTTTAGATGTAATTACTGTGTTATATTTAAATTACCTGCAGTTCATGCTCTTTATTATTCAGTAATCTTTGTAGGTTTTGAATGGTTGAGTTCTTCTCTGTTTGTACACGACTCATCACTTCAGAAGCATCCTGAAAACAAACAGAAATTTATATCAGAAATCCACTAGTTAGCTAACGTTTATACAACAGACACTGGCTACAACACATCCAATAAATTGCATTTTGCATTAATAAGACGTAAGATTAAAACTCCTGTCAATGTCATAAATAAAGGATGATGATTTTTCTTGGTTACCAGCCCTCCTCCTCCTCATGAATATCTTCACTCATACCTTCAACAAGATGTCTTTTTCTCTCAAAGCTGCCATCAAACGCTGTGAGTTGGACTCATTGGCAGCCATCATACGGGTTCTCTCTTGAAGAAGGCGCTGATGAATTTAATGTGTATGAGTTTGTAATATTAATCTTTCATGAGTAATGGACAGATATATTAAAAACAATAAATAATAATTCTATCTTTACCTCCAGAAGGCTATTTTTCTCTTTTAATTCCTCTGTTAGATCTTGAAACTTGAGGCTATTATCAGACTGTTAATAAACAATATCAGCATTATAAGCAATGACAATAACCTTGATGTACACAAGCTACTTATTATCAAGAGAGTACTCCCAATTGTCTTGAATTGGTAATTAAACAAGAACTTGTAAAAGCATGAGCCCGCCACTAAGAACGGCTGCGAGAAGACTAAACAAACATACACATGCATCTTAAACTGACACTTATCATGAAAAACATATTTAATCTATTGTAATTTTTGTTTTTAATTACTGATCTTCAAGTTCTCAAATCATTTTGACATTGCAACTGGGAAGTAAGGGTGAACACTAGTCTCTCATTGGTACAGTTTTGATTTCCAAGTAGGACTTTGAAGTGACATCAAAATAATGCTAGTAGACCTGGTAAAACATACCATTGAAGAGTTCTTAGTGACATCTTGGACAAACTTTTTTAGCTCCTGAAATAAGACAATACCTCGTCATATAACCTTTATTTACAAAGCTGTTGTAAAGTTAACTTATAACAAATGAATATGGTCCACAGCAAGGACTTGTGAATCTTCAGAAGTACAGAATTTAAGATATATATTTCAATACCATCTTCAACAAATTCTTACCACAAGCTCTTTATCCGTTGTTTCCACACAGCTCTTAACTTTTTGGAACATGGTGTCATTCTCCTTTTGTATGGCTGCTGCTGAGTTAAGAGCATCCTGAAACAATTAAGCGATAATTTAGTGTGAATACGGACTGTTTGTTTTTCTTTCCTGAGAATGTCAGCTTCTTTATTCAGATTGGTTTCAAGGATCATTGACGTATACATTAATCGTTCAGATTAGATTATTTTCTAGATTAGGTTTCTAGTGGATAATATTCAATGAAATGTAAACATCAAGCAGGCATTCAAGGACTTGAGGTATCCATGTCATACAGGATGCTATTTCTATTCTTGACCTAACAAGTTGGTTGCATATACAGTACATGTACACACTGTACCTTATGAGAAATCTCCTGATCTTGATTGATTCGCTTTAGTTGCTGAATAACAGCTTCCTTCTCTTGAATTGTTTGTTCATAAACCTGGAAATCAATCAATGTTTTATGATACAGTCCTGGTATGTTTGGTTTTCACATTTTTTTTTTGTATCTAGTATGTAGATGTTAAATTGACTGATTAATATTTGATTGGTATTCTTTCTACAAGTCTACATTGTAATTACAATATGATGTTTAATTGGTGTTGATCAATACCATATGCATTGTATGAATGCTGTATTTGCTGTTAGTGCTGTTTGTTGTTGTTGTTGTTGTTGTTGTTGTTGGTGGTGGTGGTGGTGGTGGTCGTCGTCGTCGTGGTCATCGTGGTGTTACTATTGGTAATATCTGTTAATGTCTGCCATACCTTTGCCTGTTGTTCAGCATCAACAACAGCTGAGTTAATTTTTTCAATCAGTCTATCCCTCTCTCTTATAGCCTGCCGTAGCTGTTGCATTTCATTGTCTTTCTCTTCAAGAGCACTGAACTTCTCATCTAGAGCCACCTTAAAAAACGTGGGTTGAGAATAATATCATCAATAACAATGTACAAATTAGTTGTTTGTGCTTAATAAGTTTTGTTAAACAAGTTAGGACAACAAGAGATTTCGATGTTTCGACGCCACTGCGCGTCATTTTCAAGAATAATTTATTAGGTCGATCACTACAGTTTTTATAAATTATTCTTGAAAATGATGCGCGATGGCGTCGAAATCTCTTGTTGTCCTAACTTGTTTAACAAAACTTAATAACAATGTAGTACATCATTCTATAATTTACATGAAAACTGACTAGTAGGAAAACGAGAAAATGGAAGTTAAAGTCGTATTAGGACAAATCTCTTGCTCATAGGCTTAAGCATCCTTTGCTATTCAGTTTGCTATCAGATCATTGTCATAATGTAAATATTCCTAGATTATTTCCTGGTCATAACAAGCAAACAAGAGCCAGGCACTGTGTAGTGTTACCTGTACAGCTCTTTCTTTTTGCTTGATGTGGTTCTGTAGTTTCTTTAATAAGGTGTCCTTGATATCACTTGTATCCTACACACAACACTGTCTATTACTTTATCCAGTTAAACTATAACAATTTACATGTAATAAAGGGGCATGGTCCACAAGCACTCAATGCAGTCGTGTTTTAGATTTTTCATAAATAATGCAGTACATGTATATGGAAAATGAGGTGACTTCAAATATCCATTCACAATCTGTTTCTTCCCATCAATTGGTTTTAAGGTTGAATGATTATCTTACAGGATAGTATAAAAGAGATAATAAAGAGTATGTTTTTGCTTATATTACGATGTATTTTTATTTTCAAACATCAACAAAAGCTTGACTGTGTTGCTGGTGAACCACGTCCCTTAATGACAACAGTTGTAACAAAGCAATGAGGAATAAGTAGTTGCACGGACTATTATTATTATAGGTAATTCACTGTAATCAAGTATAAAAACAAGTGAAATTTCTTGAAATGATTTTGATAAAGAAGTACTAAATAACAGTACAGTATCATCTTTACCTCAACAATACTTCCTTCACATGATAAAACTTTCAGAGCTTCTATGATATCCTAAAAAAGATTCCCAAACATCAAAATTGTCAAGACAGTGTGTTTCCACCACACACTATTGAGTAAAATGGTTATGATGTCCAAAACAAAGTTCAAACAATTTCAATCCATAATGAACTCAATCATTCAACAGCTGCAGGGGCGGATCCAGCATTTTATAAGGGGAGGTGCTTTTGTCAGTAATAATATATACCTAAAAACTAAGTATAGCAGGTGCAACTGATTATTTTTGTTAGCTGGGCATTGTCTAGAGCAAGACAAACAATTTGACTAAAAGGAAATTGACTTTTATTGCAACAGCATCTTTGACTACACTACTCAAATAGATTGTTAAGCTGCATAATAGCAGACACATGTTGTGTATGGTACTAGCGTTTTCTTGATAAAAGTACAACACAAGTATAAAGGGGGGGTGCGTCTTCACCCAAAGCACCTCCCCTGGATCCACCCCTGAGCTGATCACTTAAAACAAGCTTCAATGTCAAAACTACCTCCAGTAATGAAAGAACAAGTTAAAATTAGAATTACTGCAAGGTTTCATGTCACAAATATGAACAATATGGATTTAATGAGCAAATGAGATACAAAATGAGATTAATTGGTCTGTGCTCACTAACATTTCTTTTCACTTGACAGGAATTTTGTGAGCTTTTTTTTCTGTTTGTTTTTGCATTATTGTACATATTGTGTCTGCTTCATTTAGGATTGTTTAATAATGTATTCACAATTTACCTCAATGATTTTATCCTTTTCACTGTTACTTGAAGTCAATTTCTCAATGATTCTGTCTTTGATACCAACTTGTTCCTGGGCGTCATTAACAACTTTCTATTCCAACATTGTATATGATAATATTAATAAATCAAGCATAAAAACTGGTCATTACTAGGTAAGTACAGATCAGTAATAAGAGAGGTTAGTTAATCTTGCTGATCTAAAGAATCATTATAAAAAACATTTGATTTTCTAAATTAATCTTGTATGAAAATTAATAAATAAAGTTAACTTACTCTGTAATTTTCTTCTAATTCAATTGTTTTATTAGTACATTGATTTGATAGTTCCTTGAGTTGCTTTGCAAGTCCCTGCACAAATATCAAACATGATAACATTACATGTACTAACTAATGAAATAAATAGTATAGTTGTATAACAGCTTGCATTGTAAATACAATGTAGGTGTCAATTAATACGTTTACTATAATTACATGAAAAACACAGGTTTTTTGAAATGGTTATGAATTTAATTTTTTATAAATCACAATCCCACCCACACTTTTTACATTTTAACAGAAAATTTGCATATAAATAGAACAAAAGCAAATAAAACATTTACTAGGGGCAAACGATTTCTTTTGTTGTTGATGTTCTTTCCCTACGAGTGTGAGAATGGCATTAGATTATATCGCTTACAGTGATTTCTTTGTCTTTCTCTTTGAGAATCTCATCTATCTTGATCTGCAAGCCTTGTTTGTCTCCAGTGAGTCTTTGAAGCTCAATGTCCATTGATGATACTGATTGTACCAGTTTCTACAGAACAATAATATATATTTTGCATCACTACAAGTACAGTGAAACTGTCAAATATACGAAAAATAGTTTTAACCTCACAAACTATACAATATGTTTTGTTATGTACACATTCTTAAAGTTTTATTCTATTCATTTGTGCTTTTAAGATTGCATTGCTAATCATACCTCAATCTCTTTATCCTTGGCAGCAAGGCTGTTCTGAAGTGATGCAATGGTACCATCTCTTGATCTCACAATTTCTGAGTGTTCTTCAAATGTCTTTGTTCGAAACAAATAAATATAATGATGTCATAGATATTGTTGTTGTAGACTTGTCATAAGTGATTGATTTGATTGGTAGTAATGTTAAGTTGTCACATATCTTTGCAATTAATTAGTTCATGATAACTCGTGACAAGTTCATTTAAAGAAGTATAATATATGAAATATTTAGCGAAAAGGGCAGTAAATTGTTTGAAATGTCATTATACAGTACTCCATTATACATGTTCTTCTTTCTCTGGTATATACTAGATAGATATTGTGTTTCAGACAGGAACATTTTGACAGTTACATGTATTTGGCCTTCTAAAAATTAAGTAAGGGTGGCATATGATAGCGCACAATGGGTTTCTTACTTGGCCATTGATAAGTAAAATGCAAAATATCACTGACCTGATACCACTTCATGTTGGCAGTGTGAGCAGATTCACGAGCTGCTGCAAGACTCTTTTCTAAATCACCAATTTTGGTCTTGAATTTTTGCTGGTAAGTAAAGGAGATTTTATTACAGTCCATGATGTACATTCATTGTACATTTGAGCATCATCTCAATAATTTTTAGTGTTAAACTAGTAGGCAAAAGGATGTGAAATCAATCTTATGGGGTCAATTTTATATATTTTTTTGTGGATCTGTCCTGATAATAAAAATCCACCAACAGCATTGAAAAGTACAACCATTTCAGGACTGTTTAGTTAAAACAAGAGATGCAGATATTGCACTAATACAACCAAGCAGTCTCCTAAAACGTTCTGTTTACCATCTTAAAACCACAACTTTGCATCAAAACAAGACAATCAGTAAGCATACAATGATAAACAAAATGATGGAAATTAGCTGAACTATTATAATTACTTTGACAAATTAGGATAAGGTCCGAAACGTCAGTTAGTTATTCCACCTAATTTTTTGGTCTTAAAAGTTATCTTATTCCACAAATGATACAATGATCATCAATGATAAATACTAGACTGTCTTGTCTTTAGTTGTAAAAGAAGACTTGCACATTCACGTACTGTCATCATATGATACTTCACTGTAAAGGCATACTTATATTTCACATGCATAATGCTTGACTGACAAATGTACTTCTCACTAATACAAGATGACTAATATATAATAATTAACCAAAATAATGACTTATTCAACATCATTAGCAACACACACCTGTTCTTCATTATCAACGGAATTCCTTGAACTCAACTGTTGTCTTTCTGACTCATGAAGCTGGTTTTTCAGTTCCTATCATGATGTCAAGTTGATTTCAAATTACACAATATAATACACTAAATCCTAATAATATGGATCATAAAGTGAATTAATTATCAAATATACAAATGTACATGTACTATAATGTAAAATAGTAGAAACTCTCTGACAGAAATTAAAAGACGTTTTAAGAGAGCAAACTATTTACAATACATGCAGTACATGTACATTACTTGAACTGTACAGATTTAATCTTGAGTTTTCTATTTCATCACTTACTCTGTTAATCTTTTCTAGTTTCTTTGTCTTTTCTTTCAATTCCTATCAATGAAATTAAGGTATTTTAATGGGCTTATTCTGCAGGTGAAATTGTTAACTATAAATCGTAAAACAATACAATATGTAATTGCAGCCAATTAATAAAGACATTGCAATAGGACGTTAAATAATTTTAATAAACAACTGATATCTCAGCCACACTCAATCTACCATTTTCTTCAAGAAACTGTACATGTATACACCTAAGTCAACATTTTCACTTCCATAACCATCCATATTATTTTCTACCTCAAATGATGTGTTCCTTTTGTTCAGTTCTTCTGCAAGATTCTTTAGTTTTTTCTCTCCTTCAACAAGTTTTCTTAAAGTGTCTTGTGCTTTCTAAAACATTGTACAATATGTAAAATTCACTATAGTTTATAAGCAGTTGTCTAGCAAATCATGTGAATGACATCTGTTTATAGTATAGCCACGGCCAATGTGGCATCATGGAAACAATACCAGAAAACCTGACCAGCAGCTCTCATAGAGTTTCATTAGACTTATTTCACATGTAGCTTCATCAATATCAAATAGAGAACAATATCAGTGTGTGAAATCCAATGGCAAAATGCTAACCACCATTTAATGGTTTTGCTAAACTCTGAACTTCATCAAACTGGTTTAAAGCCTTCTCCCTCATATTTGCATTGTATTATTAGTTATGAATACATTGTCATCAACAAAACAAGAAGATAGGTACCTTCTTTTCTTCTTCAAGTATACAGGTCTTGTTTTCAAGTTCCTGCAAAAAAGAAAGATGTGCTTCTTTATCCCCAAGTCCTTTGTGCTAATTTCAGGGCTGAGGCTATGTTTTCATCACGACAATATTTCTATATGACTGAGTCAAATAGTCTCAGCTTGATGATTAAAAACTCAAGCCATAACTACATGTATGCATGGAGCTAGACCAACCTTGTTTGCTTTCCGTTGATTTTCCAAAGCATCATTCAGTTCATCAATCATTCTGTCAGATATGCAATCAATGTAAATATTTGGCCGGTAAACAAGCATAGAGCAAGAGATTGTCATTAGCATTCTATCAATACCATGACTGCTATCATGACTACTACCATCACTATCGCAACCAACACTACAGCATACAATCTTAATCAATTACTTACTTGTCTTTCACATTAAGGTTTTCAGTTTCCTAAAAAATCAAAATAAATGGAAGGTATGATAATACTGTATGTCTTTCCCTTCTAAGCATCCTTCAGTTACTTGCAGTGTCGCACAGATTACTTCTGGAATTTTAAGACTAGATAGGCGCAGTCAATTGGCCTTTCAAAACAAGGTTATGTCCCTATTTCCAGTGTAATCATACTCAGCTATATTCACAATATTCTAGTACATCAACAAGTAAATTATAGCAATTGATTTACTTGGATAATGTATAATTTATCCATAGTTTTACCCAGCAGGTGATTGTATTTAGTACCTGTTTCCTGTCCTCATTGTATGCTTGGGTATTTTGATGTAGTTTTTCATTTAATTGTTGGTTCATAGTCACAGCCTCAGTCTAAAACATTCAAATTATGCATCATGTAAAATAAATCATATATACACAGAGATCATGTGATACAACATCCCCACAGCAGTTTCCCGACAAAAAAAGTGTATTGCAGAGTTTACTTAAGGAATAAAAACAGTTTTCCGTGTATTATACTCTGATAAAAACACGCGGGATGTGGGGAGAACACGAGAGAAGCGTTTTATAAAATAACAAGCGCTCAAATATTCATGAGCAAAAAAAGCCGAGAAAAAAAATGATGGGAGCGTGTATTATGCTCTCATCAAACACAGCTTTTTGGCCAATCAGAGCGCGCGTAATATGAAAGTTATTTTATAAAGAGAAATAATGGATGTAGCTTTGCACTAATTTATCTTCAAGACACAAATTGAAAAAGTGTGTCATAATCTATCACACAACAATCATTTTAGTTGAGGAAAACCACTATAAAGAGATAAAACAATTTTGGTGGTTTCATATGTAGATCTTTTTTATGAAATTTTAAAGTTATGGAATGTTCGATAAATTATAAATGCCTGAATTGAGCATACATGTATGATTGGAACCTACTTTGTAGACATCATACCACCAACTGCTTTTTGACTGCTGCTTAATTACAGCAGCTCTATTGTTAGGCTGTGTTTTGTTTTATTGTTGGAAGACTTATCTAATGTTTGTCCATTGTTTCTCAACATCATGAGACCCTATCACTGCTGACTGGCCAAAAATAACAATAAAAATTCAGAATTTATCAAATACAAAAACATTTTTGGGACAATTAAGTCACTACTAGGAAAGATTAACGTAGAATTTGGAAAAAATGGAGTTTAGTTTAACAAATTAATGCTCTTACCAGTCTTTCAGCAACATCCTCAAGGTCATGCTTAGTTGCAACAAGTTCCTATTGAATCCAAAGATTTACATGTAAACATTCAATATTCAATACTGCTTTAATAATCATCATAACCATTACTAAAAACAACTGAAATTTAGAAGCTGTCTATTATCAAATATTTTCCAAGTCCTTATAATTGCAAGTTGTTGTACCTTCTCAATGCTGTTAATTTGACCTTCATATTTTTCTGCGAGTTCCCGTAGTTCACCTAAGTGATCATCATTCAATTGTTTTATTTGTGCATCACTGTGGTTTGCAATCATCTCAACAGCATCCCTGAAAATACACAATTACACTGTAAGCATTCAGTGATCATTCTTTCACCTTTTCCCTCAGAATTTTCAACTATTGAATTGATTAATAAAAATGTCTATTCAGAAAATAAAAAATTATAAACCAAAGCAATCCCAGATTGACATGATCTGGAACACATATCAAACAGGCTGATTGTGGTTCTGTCACCATGAATACATTTTCTAAAATATTTAGGATATTACGCGCGCTGTGATTGGTCGAAAACCATGTYTGATTACAGTATCAAAACACGCTCGCGCACGTCAAAAATTTCTTTTTTCCCGCCGTTTGCATTTGTTGTTGTTATCATTCATTTTCAARAACAATKAWYGAASAAATGCCTATTTATGATGTCCTCTGGGATGATATCCTAGAAGAAGAGCTATCAAACGTTTTAGAAGCTACAGAAGCTGCAGACAACTGCAATGTAAGGAGAATTYATCSTTTCATATCGTATCAAAAGTCAGAATTCTTTACAATTTTCGTATTCTTTTAATTTTAGAAATACGCGGAGTGGTTTCCAGCTTTTCGAGTGCTCTCCCTACATCCCGCGTGTTTTGATCAGAGTATCAAACATGGAATTTCGTCTTTTATTCCTTAAGTAACGAATGCAGAGATGTACAGTCATATAACTCACGAGGCTTTAATAAGCAGTTGTTGCTTTTCAACCAGTTCTTTCTTCAGTTCTTCCACTGTAACTTTCAGCTCTATATTCTACAAATACACCACAAACATGTCAATATTATCTCTACTATTGTAGTTGTTTAGTTAAAGATATTCTACTATACTGCCCTTTAGATATAAACTTTAATTAATTATTACAAAATAATCTATGTAATCTATTAAATGAAGCCATAATAAACGTGTTTAAAAAATGTCAAAATAATATCTGCATGTACATAGTCTGGTCTGCAAGTTAGTAGTGTAGTACTTAAGGCTGATTTACACGGCACGATTGTCTCGTGCGACTTGTAGTATACGACTTGAATCACGCAGTGTAAATGCCCCTACGACTTGWSTACAAMAGTCGTACGCAACCTRCGACTTGTAGTAGGATTTTGAACCACTGCTTAAAATCCTACGACTTGTAGTAGGAAAATCGTATACTACAAGTCACGCGCGACAAATCGTACCGTGTAAATCAGCCTTTATGCAGACACATCAGATGTACAGAACTATTTAAAAGGAACTGGTTTGATAACAAAGTTAAGACCAAGAATACTGTACTAACAATAAATCACGTTTAGAACCTAATCCTTCACAAACCTTTTATATTTTTTATGGTAATAATAGGATAAAGAGAACAAAATGTACAACATTCATCAATTCATTGATTATCAGTAATCTTGCATAGAATATAATAATAATATATACATTATTCCTGTTAATATGATGCTTACAAGTTTGAAGGTGTCCTCTGGAGTATCACTGTGCTTTAGTCTTTCTTCAAGGAAGTAAATCCTTAACTTCAAACCAAAATTCTCCTTTTTTAAGTCTGACATTTGCTGAAATTCAACACATATCATTAAAACTCAGTTACTTAAAACCAATATTCACCTTAGCTAAAAACAACAATAAATTCTGGTTTAATACATACCATCATATCTCACTAGCAATAACCAGACCTGACATATCATCAATAATAATGATCATAACTATCATGACAGCTATATTCGATATAAAACTCACCAATTCATAGTCTCTCATTGTTTTAACTTGAGAAGAATTGGAGTCTGAGCCTTCTTTGCCTGAAAAAAATACAAAATAAATAAGTTCCATTATCAATTTTATAAAACTAACGATTAACTGTTTTAAGAATTAGACTAATAAAACAAACTTGAYGCTATTATAAACAATTTTAAGACAATCACAACCTTCGTTCATTTCTGAGAAGTTTTGAATTCCAATGTCTTGAAAGTGTCTCGAGCTGTCAAGGACTTCTTCTCCAAGACCAAGACGTCCCGAATTCGCCGATGCAACGGCTTCTTTAAAGCGAGCAAGGTTGGTGCTGAAACACACAGATTCAATAAATAATTAAGAGAGTAAGTCTTCACGTATACACACCAAACAGCAGGAGTTTGACATCACAACAAAAGTCACATCAATGTTTGTAAAAAATCGTTCGGGTAGGCCTGAAAATCTGTTAGCTTTTTCTTTGACATAAATATTTTCTAGTCTTCTGAAAAAACGTTAGCCCTTCTCACAGTACTTCTAAATTACAGTTTCATTATTCTAAAAAAGAAACAGCTGAGGCGATGTAAGTCACGCTTCTGTGTTTGTAAATTCGTCCAAGAGTAAAAATCCGCGCAAAAATTTGAACTGAAAGTCACCCAACCAATCAAAGGTATGCTGTTGTTTTACCTTTTCTCCAGGTCCAGCGGCAAAGTTGGATCATCCTCCATAACGGAGTCCATTTTGGCTTCTTTATTCTGCTTTTACAAGTATTTACTTAACTTCCATCGATGCAGAAAAACAAATTCACCGTAAACAAAACCTCAAACTTTCCGCCATTTTCCGTCATAAATATGCGATTTGAACATAACGATTACTGCGCATGTTCAGTAGAAAAGGTTGTTGTCACGGGATTCCTGTGGTGTAGCAGTTGAGATTATGGCGGACGAAGTAAACAACGTACTTGATGAAAGAAAAGTTGTTTCTGAATTTTGCCGTCTTTTAGAGAAATCCAGGCTCTTGTTCAATTCTTTGAGGTATTGATCAGTATATCATAGTTTAATCTGTAGTACGAAATTTAAATATGTTTGAAAGTTAGTATTCTGACCGCATTCGATTCGGACGCCATACGACATTCTCGCACACAAGTCGTTGCAAGCACTGTTGCAAGCAATATTGTTTCAAGGCTCACCTGTTTGCAATCTTTGTTGCATTATTATTATTTATCTATATAATATTTTTGCAAATTTGGCAAATTAGGAAATATAGTTCGGTTTTATAGGCACACGTAAAGAGCTGCATAGTTAACTGCATTTMCCACGGATATATTGATTATTTTTGATATTTGACTGTTAATTAATTAGCGAGTGCCGCCGAATGGTGTTGGTTTCATGTCGAGGTCATTATACTATATGCTTATGCAGGAACTACTGGAAGGGTCATGAAGAAAGAACCGTAAATATTCAAACAAGATTTAGTGCTTTACATAGAGAAGAAAAATAGGTCTCGAAAGGTTTTACGCGAAATTTGGAATAGCCTAATACTCATGTGGTCTTTAAAATATATTAGATTTAGAAACACAATAATCTAATTAGAGTTAATGCCAATTGTTCCTGGGTTTATCTAAACAAGACACAAGGCTAAATAATAAGAGGTGCACACCACACTTGTGTAAATTCTCGCGCGCTGATTGACTGATTAGAGTGTGTCAATAAGAGGACATGCGACTCAAAACAGTGCCCAATTTGTTAAGTATTTTTCTGTTTTATTAAAATACAATTCGAATTTTTTAAGTTTTCGGGTATTTTGATACATTTTGACATGATACCTCGACCCATCTCGACCCTCAACCAAACACATTTCTCTTAGTGCATCCTATTATTCCACGCCATCCTTTCCATTTCATTCTATTCTATTTCATTTTGTTCTGTTCTGTTCTCTATTTCAACTCTATCGGTGTCTCACTGAGGGTGCGTGCACTAACAAGGAAGTCATGCCTTTGCAGAGACCTGCCGCAATTTGGCAGCAAACATTGGCAAACTCACTTTGGAAGAACATTTGACGTCTATACGCGGGTAACAATTCGATTTCTGCGAGATCTGATGATTGAAATTTTGTTTTCACTAATCAATCTCTCAATCTGTTCTTTGTTTATAGTTATGGAAGTTTCAGCAGCAACACAGGTAATTCACGTGATTTGATTGTACGTTAGAAAGATACCATTGTTTGTCCTTACTTTTCGCGATTTCAGACTTGCTTTGTGGAGACTCATACAGTAAAAATATTGAAAAATCGTATATTTCAAATTTCCTCCATTCATTTATTAACATTTGGGAAGGGGGCACTGCTGCCCCGGGGGTCGGGGACCCCCTAATAAAAAAGGGCGGGGGTCCTCGTCGTCCCTTTTAGGGTTTGAAATCAGTGTTTTGGTCCCGCTTATGGTGATAATTACGAGAATTCCCAACTAAGTTTTGTGGTCCCTTTTAGGGTATTCGACGACCCTAAGCCGTCATTATAAGATCAACAACAACAACAACGTCGTCATAAACTCAATACGAGCCGACGGAGTTTGATCCTTGTGCAAAAACACAAATAAAATCGGGAAACCAAAACAAAATGACCTGTTATTGATTGGTACCTCTTAGGGGTGAAATTTCAGCACTGCCACGCCCATCATCTCACGATACAGGTCTCTTTTAGGGGTCATTTTCAGAATTTCCGACGTGGACCCCCGCCCTTTTTCATTAGGGAGTCCCCCCCGGGACTGCTCACTACGCTTATCCAAGTGCTTATGGCGTTGTTCCTCTTGTCTATTTGAACATGCTTAACTAGAATACATATTGTATACATAAATGTTTGCCCATCTATCCGTTTGCATATATGCAGCTTGTTGTGATTTTCTCATTTTAGAAACATACTCGATGAAAAATACAGTCTAAAACGATGGCAAATAGGAGAAATAGCATCGAAGATAGGACAACTTTATTATCATTACTAGTAAGTATCTCGTAAAAATCGCATTTAAGTATTATTTTGTTGGCTTTTTGTCAAAGTCTTATAATGAAAAAAACGCGAAAACTAATTTTCGCGATAAGCATGGGATAACTTCATCATCGCTGTAGTAATTACTTGTTGTATTATATACAGTTTAAGAACCAGCGAGGCGAATTACTTAAAAGAATCATTTTCGTTCTACTCGGCTATTCGTGAACGAGCTTATTACAGCCAAGCAAGTAGAGAAGAAAAGTGAGTATTAATCAGAAAATCACGATTGAATGAATGTATGTAGACTTGACAAATGACTTATTGATCCATTGGTCGATTGAATCGGATTGTTCGATCGAACGAACGATTGATGGATTAATGGAACGAATGATTGATTGACGAAACGACTGATTGATTGATTGATTGAACGACTGACTTGATGATCGAATAAATGATCGATTGATCGAACGAATGATTGATTGATCGAACAAACGGTTGATTGATTGAACGACTGATTGATTATTGATTGAACGAATGATTGATTTATCGATTGAACACTAACGGTGTATTGATTTAAAAAAATTGACTGTTTGATTGAAGCAATGTTTGTTTGTTGCTCACTAAATTCGCGATATTCAGTAAAATCACGAAATTTAAGGGATTTTCCAATGTTGTTTCAGGCCCGATCTTATGGTTAAAAAGCTTCGATATTATGCTAGATATACAGTAGTGTGTCTTCTATTAAACAAAATGGAACTCGTCAAAGACATTATCGCCGTGAGTATGTCTTTCACTGCAGCAGTTTTCTTTGCTTCTTTGTTTTCAGTTTTTGATTAAAATTTGACTGGAGGTCAGTCTAACCCCCTCCCCAACCATCGTACAAGTTACTGGTTTATCGTGAGTTTCTCGATTGGTTTTAAGTTAAAGTTAGATGTTACTGCCCTCTCTTTTCGTTTATTAACTTGGATGTTGCCCTCTCTTTCAAGTGATACCTTTAGACTATGCCCAACTCTCTGGATACCACCTTTCCTGATACTTATTGCGCAGTCCCTTAGCAATGCTTTTATCTCAATGCAATAAGATTTCTCTTTTTGTGGCACAGGAGTTGATTCATTACGTGGAGGAATATGTTAATGTGTATGACGCTGAAGACGACGAGGAGTGGAGACTGGTGATAACAGAAGTGACGTCATTTGTACAGGTAGACCGGCTATCTTCACGCCTGTATTCACGTGCGAGTAGAAACGCGTACTAAAAGCATAGGCTACCCAACTATTGCTTGAGAGAAAGAAAAGAACGAGTGCGCACGCTTATATTATTATGTTATCACATCGGCGCGCGATGCGGGTTTCCTGTGGTCTTACGTCATTGATCCCTTACCTCGCGGGTATGTAATCGAATCGGCGCGCGCTGCGGGTTACTTTACGTCACGATCCCGCGCCTCGCGGGATGCAATCTAGTCACAGACTTGTTTGAATCCCGCGAGGCACGGCATCGTGACGTAATACCACAGGTAATCCGCATTTCACTAAGAGCGGGCGCCGATACTAGTATAAAAGCGTGCGCATTCATTCTTTTCTTTCTCTCAGGCAATAGTTGGGTAGCCTATGACTAAAAGGAGAAATATTAAACGAGTTAACATTGTTGTTATAGGCAGACAATATCGTGGCAGTCATGACACCTGACGTTATTCCAGTCATCCTTTCACATCGAATCAAGGCTAATGTATGTTTTACACAGTACTTAGTTATTATAATTATTATTATGACTGACCTGAGAAGTCCTACTGCATAAGAGGGCGGGGATATATACTCGTCGCGCCTTTTGGAAGTGAAAAGACATATACATTGAAATCTGTCTTGCTTTCACATAATTTAATTTAATTGTAGAATTTTTAGAGGGATTTTTAAAAAACCAGAGCTTGACAGGACTTTCTGAATGACACAAACACTCATGATTTTTGTATATACTCTCTGTATACTCTGCGTCATTGTTTTGTTTCCTTGTCACTAGCGTAGAGTGGGGGGAATGATGGGGGCATGTGTCCCCCAAATATGTTATTGATTTTTTTAATAATAATAATGTATGGAGAAAGTTCAAAAAACTGTTCTTTATGTGTGCCCAAAGACATTTCATTTCTCGCTCCGCTCCTATACCTTGCTAAGGGGGAAGCTGTTGAAATATACAATAACTTACTAAGAATTCAGTGAAGCATACACAAAGTCTAGCTTCCTTCGCATGTATCACAAAGAATCACGTGGTTCCTGTGACCGTTACAAAGGGAGCCCAAAGGAGGAAAAAAGAGTTGCCTGGGGAGGAGGCTACACAAAGACAATAATAATAATAATGATATAATTTCCTTCTTTTCTCGGCAGGAAATACCATCACTTAGAGGACCTACGAACATTTCTAGTGGAAGTAATCTGACATTACAGGAAATTATTATTATTGGAAATTGTGAAAAGCAGGTAAATGTACAGTAGACAAACGTTTCACAGTTGATATTTTATCCTATCGTCGGTTAATCATTTCCTTGTATCCCGCCAATATGAGAGAATGAGATAAGAGAACGTATCACCAGACCCAATCAGGAGCCCATCTTGTGCTATTTGTTACTATTTTAAGCTTGTGCCTCTCCCCCAATGACAATCTCAGGGACGGCTTATTCGCAGATTAGCGAAACAGTTGGATCTCCTGTAAGCAGACCTTTGTGAAACACTTTAAGTGTTAAAACTGACACGACATATCATAGCTCAAGACATGCAGCTCTATCATAAGGCTACTTATCTTTAAAATTCTGAAAAATTCGTAGCTTTTTTAAAAGCCGTGAAATAGGCCTTTTGCAGCTGGGGGTCACGTGACCACCCCTACCTTAAATTAATCGACTATCACAAAATGATGTTCAGAAATGGAAAGAGGGGATCAAAATAAGTAAGAAGACAAAGTTTCAAGTCTCAACACTAAATACTTCAAAAATGACAGCAAATATAAAATCATTTTTTTTCTAAAGAAACATATGCAAAAACAGARCTGGAGAGCAAGCCTTGCTCTCCAGCTCTATTTTCCCATACATTTCTTTAGAAAAATCRATATTTTACATTTGCTGCCATTTTTTAAGTATTTAGAGTTGAGACTTGAGACTTTGCCATTTTACCTAAATAAACCTGCTCTGTCCATTTCTGAACATCATTTTTTGATAACTGATTGATTTAGGGTAGGGGWGGTCACGTGACCCCCAGCTGCAAAAGGCCTATTGATGGCTCAACGCAGTCAGCAATATTATGTTTACCAGAAGTTTGCGCACAGAGTCTCTTCTCCGTGTTTGGGGGGACAAAACAACAATTTTTTTGCCCTGAACTAAAATCCATTTTGCCTTCTAGTTTTGGTTGTATTCCCATGAACTGCAATGGGTCTATAAGAGCTGGGTGCATATATTTGATTAGATACTGTACTGTAACTTGTAACTTATTTTATGTCAGGTTAAGTTCAGTGAACTCACACTCGACATGTTTCGAATGCTTCAAGCGTTTGAACGCGAACCTGACATAGATTCTCCTCGCACGCTGGTTACACCATCCACAGATAATACACTACAAGACAAGGTTAGGCTAAGATTAATGACATGATATGACGTCATTGACTATGACGTCATTGAATGATGATAGTCTAAGGGCATTTATAACTTGGTAAATATGTGAAGTTAGATACTACATTTCTTATCAAATCATCTCCAGTATCGCACTATTTGTGCTGCTCTTCAAATTTGTTTGATATGTTAGTAATAAGATATTATGGAAAAAAATACTAATTCAGAAATTTCAAATACCCAAACAGAATGCACGTATTTAAGTAAACACGATATAAATTGGTCAGCATGACCACAATGTAAAAAGTTCATGTTGTCTATTATGTATTTTCCATGAATGGAAAAATAAATACCTTTGATTTACCTCAGCTTCTTTTTTCCAGGTTCCATCAAAAGATTCCAGTAAGCCTTGCCCAAACCCTCATAAGTACCTGCTTTACAAACCAACGTTTTCGCAACTTCACGTCTTTCTCAGCGTCAGTTTCAAGGTAAGAATTTGTTAAATGGGAGTAAACATTTATCGAGGCCCTTTAAAACAAGTATTCTTATACTTTCGGACAGGAAATTCCGTCCAGCGGTGTTCTCCTGGTGTACATTTCCGGTGACGCATACACACCAAGCGTGAAATCTGGACTCGAAGGTACACGCCCCTGCTACCACAAATTGAATGTCCGCGGTTGAAACTTAAATATTTTGGAAATATTGTTAACTTGGCTTTCGTTATTATTATTTCCCTTGTCTTCTTCTTTTTTTCATCGTTGTATGGATTCGCAGGTCAGTACGACCAAGGTGGTGTACTAACAGCAAACAGGAAAACAGATCTCGATGATAATCTATCAAAACGAAGAAATGTATTCAAAGAACCTAATTGGTGAGGAGATTCGTGCTTAAGGCACAACCACAAACTGCGCTCTTATTCCACCCATCTCCACACGAACACATAAACTATTATGGTACGCATAGTTCAGTTTTGAGTAACACAACTTAAATACGATCTGAAAACGGGAGTATTTTGAAAGCTTTTGAATGATTTTAAAGTTTCAAGAATGTTTGTGCGGTTTTCCGACATACAAAAATTCGCCGTCTTTGATTTTGAACCAAACCTCGGAAACTACCTTTCAACAAGATATCATTTGTAAAACAAAAGAGACGATCGCAAAGGTTCTTGGGGTGTATGTGAGGCTATAAATGACACCATGTGGTTGTTTTAACGATATATCACTGGAAAAAATCGCGCGTTATAAAAGTTGTAAATTTGATGTAAATATGATGTAAGTGTCCAAAATGATGGAAATTTGATGGAAATTATTTACATCAAATTTACATCATTTTGGACACTTACATCATATATACATCAAATTTACAACCTTTAAAGCGCGCGATTTTTTCCAGTGATATCATAGGCCGCCCAACTAATCATTAGAGACAGAAAAGAGCGAATGCGCACGCTTTTATTATGTATATGTATCGGCGCGCGCTCTTAGCAAAAATGCGGGTTACCTGTGGTATTACGTCACTATCGCGCGCCACGCGGGATACAAACTAGTCTGTGACAGACTAGTTTGTATCCCGCGAGGCGCGCGATAGTGACGTAATACCACAGGTAACCCACAGCGCACGCCGATTCGATAACATAATATAAAAGCGTGCGCATTCATTCTTTTCTTTCTCTCAAGCAATAGTTGGGTAGCCTATGCCTAAACCCACAGCGCACGCCGATTCGATAACATAATATAAAAGCGTGCGCATTCATTCTTTTCTTTCTCTCAAGCAATAGTTGGGTAGCCTATGGTGATATATGTGACATATTCACTCATTCACATTCCAAGACCCACTCATTCATATTGCTACCTTCATAGTTTGTATCCTGAAGACCTTGTTCCATTCACTCGTAAACCGTTGGTATTGATTGTCGACTGTCCAAATAGCGAGGCCTTCAAGGTAACAGCAATATCAGTATTATATTAAATGCCTTTTTGGGGTTCTGTTTGGGTAAACTTGGCGAACCTACCTAGGGCTGACAGCAGATCAGGCTCACATACTGTACAACTGGGATCGTTTGTACGAAAGATTAATACAGTTATCTTCAATCCATAAAATTTGTATGGATTTTATCCATTTTGAGCAACAGGGTCTGCTGTCAAATATAGCAGCGGTCACTCACTTTGCTCGAGACAGGCATATTCCCGGAGGCATATTTACCGTCGGGTCCCAGGTTGTCGGTTACACGGGCCATTTTCAATACAAAGTGCATATTTTTCACCATTTAATACTTTTAAAGAATGGTATATTTCGATAACGCACTTAAACTTTTTAATATTTAAGCTAAACCTTTAGCTGAATCTGAGCATCAATCGACGATTTGCTAAGGGCGCTTTCAAGAATATTATATTTGCATGCATATCTTATAATTGCTCTTGACAAAAAGAAATTCTTCGTTTCCATACCGCGCTAACCTGCGCCTATTCAATTAAATGTTTGAATTTGTAAAGGGTGTTCTTGGAAAGTGAATGAACTCAGGTGAGGCGGAGACAAGAAAGAGGTAGACATGATCATCACGCATCGGAAGTGATCACTGATGTAGAATGATGCACATTTTCAGAGATACTATGTTTCATATTTTGCTTATTTTTTCTTTTAACAGTATTTCCCTAATCACTTTGGTCAACCTCTAGTTTGCCTCATGTCGTCGGCTGCCGTCCCTGTGGCTATGTCTGGTATGGTGACCGTACATTATTATTAAACTTACCTTTGTCTCTTCTGGTTTCCTTTTCAAATGTTTTTTCTGCATGCGTGTATTTGTTATCTACCTTTTGTACTGTGATATCCCTTGTGCGATTTTTGTCTACCGGCATCCCTTTCAAACTTTAGTTTATGGAGATATTGCAAGATTCGACCAAAAAAACTATAGGGAGGAATATGGATTGTGAATGGATGTTTAAAGTTACCTTATTTTACATGCATGAAAAATATAAAACACGACCGCATTGAATGCTGGTAGACCAAAGCACTTTTAGACTTAACCCAGGATTAGTGCTAATCGATCTTTAAAAAAAGACGGACTTTTGGTCTAGTGTGCTCTCCTGTCTTGCTGTCTGTTTTGGTCTAGTGTGCTCTCCTGTCTTGCTCTCTGTTTTGGTCTAGTGTGCTCGCTCCTGTCTTGCTCTCTGTTTTTGTATGCTCTTTCTTTCTCTATCATAATATACTGTGCCACACACTCTGTTTTCTAAGCGTAATTCTTTCCTATTTAGAATCCAATCGTAAAGGCAACATGTTTACAATGTTTCTGTACAGCCCATTGGTGGCTTTCTGCTATGTATCAAGTATCGCTAACCTCCGCAGTGACTTATGGGAGGATGGTCAGCGCCAGGTCCGTCGAATATTGAACGATTTATTACGAGTAATTCAAGACTGGTCACGTGTTGTAGGTAAGTGACGTCACATGCCGTCAGATCTTAGGGGAGTTCTCGCTTTGGAATGCATCATGGGTANGACCGCATTGAATGCTGGTAGACCAAAGCACTTTTAGACTTAACCCAGGATTAGTGCTAATCGATCTTTAAAAAAAGACGGACTTTTGGTCTAGTGTGCTCTCCTGTCTTGCTGTCTGTTTTGGTCTAGTGTGCTCTCCTGTCTTGCTGTCTGTTTTGGTCTAGTGTGCTCTCCTGTCTTGCTCTCTGTTTTGGTCTAGTGTGCTCGCTCCTGTCTTGCTCTCTGTTTTTGTATGCTCTTTCTTTCTCTATCATAATATACTGTGCCACACACTCTGTTTTCTAAGCGTAATTCTTTCCTATTTAGAATCCAATCGTAAAGGCAACATGTTTACAATGTTTCTGTACAGCCCATTGGTGGCTTTCTGCTATGTATCAAGTATCGCTAACCTCCGCAGTGACTTATGGGAGGATGGTCAGCGCCAGGTCCGTCGAATATTGAACGATTTATTACGAGTAATTCAAGACTGGTCACGTGTTGTAGGTAAGTGACGTCACATGCCGTCAGATCTTAGGGGAGTTCTCGCTTTGGAATGCATCATGGGTAATCAGGTCAAACTTTCTCAGAAATTTAACAACAAAATATCGGCTTATCAAGCCAATGGTCAGAGGGCATTGTTTTCAATAGTTCTCACGTCTGCCGTTATATACTCTGAATTGTTATGAATAAGAAAGCTTTTCCCATACACAGAAACTTTTTTTCTCAGAACGTATCACGAAACTTTAATTTTTTTAGCCGCGAAAAAATGCAAAAAATGTTAGGCGAACGTTTTATAATATAAGGAGGACAGTTGGTTTAATGCTCTATTGCTTTTCAGATTTATCTGTTTTAAAGATTTTGGAGGACGATTTTCTGAAAATGATGTTGCTACGATATATATTTTGCTTCTACGTCACTCATTTACACAGAGCATTTAAGGTACCTTTAAATGAGCAAACGGATTGATTATTACGTGTGATGATTGGTAGAGTGGATACTTTAAACCCGTTAATTTATTAATTAAGAAATAGTGTTGATTAGACAATAGAAAGCAAAGGAATTTTAATTCCAAAAAAAACCTGGCTCCTACTTTTTATAATAATGGCCCTGCCCACAGATATGCAGACATTTTTGTTGCGGTAATTGTTTTTCATCCGGATGCAAAGATATATGTTTCAACACGTAGCGTGGAACAGCATACGAAGGTCCACAGTGTCACCGGAGATTTCTGTATCCGAATAAAAACGTGTGCGAACACAAATTAAATCTCTGGGGTCGGCTTTACGAAGAGTGAACCCCGAATAGCTTTATCCAGCCTTCGTACAAAGCGACCCTGGCTTCGTGTGGACGAGGACTATGCTTCACGGATGATGTTCGTCCACTCGTTACTATCTTACATGTCATGGATCTACATCTTTGAATTGTTTCCACAAACCCTTTCAAACATTCTATTGAGCTTTACTCAGACGAAGGATTAACGTACGAATAGTCAGTAAATTGTTTTACCTACTTTTTTACGATTTTAAAATTTATCTTTTTACACAACTATTGAGCTTGTACTTGACTTTGTATTTTATTTGTCCTTTTACTAGGGGTCTGAGTACTACCCAAAATGTTTTCCTAAACTGCCTAATGAAATCTTGCTGAATGGAGGCGTGGAGAAGCAAGTCCTTGAACTGGCGTCCATGTTGGATGTTCGGAGTTTGTTTTACGAAGTTGGCGAGGCGCCCCCTTTCGATTAGACGACGTCTTGAGAGTTGACTTTCTGAATTTCATGTGATTTCAGCACAAAATGAAACGCGCGCGTATAGAGCAAGGTGGCACCGAGACCCATCAGATTTCACTTGTTTCTTTAAACCCGTAAAATAAATGTGCCAGTCACATAAACACAGAAAATAACATTAGCATGGTCCACCAGCACCCGTCGAGTTTTTGCTCATGTTTGAAAATAGAAATACATCATAATATAAGCAGAAACTTACTCTTTGTTTATCCCTTTTATACGATATGGATGGAGAGACTGTAAGATTCGACACTTTACTGTTTATTTTACGGATTTATGGGAGCAGCTCTATTCCATACACATTATAATTTTAGATGCAAGCTAAGTCGCCCGCAATGTCGGTTACCTAGTTATACTGGGCTGTTGTCTTGAAATTGAGTTTTCTCCTTGAAAAGTGAAAAAATGGGCAAAATACAGCAACGCCATTTTTTCAACAAAGCACGGTGTGAGTTTTGTCATCACACTTGTTGTAAACCCTTAAATATATCTCTAAAGGCAATTTTTATATTTTCCTCGTAAAAACGGTACAACCAGTTCTGTTTTTGCTTTTAACAGAACTGTTTTAGCAGGAAAAAAGATGTGCAAGGACTACAACTCCAATCATGCCTTGCTGCACAAAATGAACTGTGTCTGCAAGCATTCATTCAGCCAATAAATTAAAAAAAAACGTTTTACATTCTCCATTGTTAGACACTGAACCTTGAAAATAGCTAGATCTTGTGACTCCCCAAGCATTCTGGCTTTGTGTTTTATTGTTGTATTGATGAGTGAGTGAAGATGTGAACAAAGATGAAACTTGTGAATTGAAATAATTATTTAATTGAATAAAATACAGCCTTTTGCACAAATTATGAGACATTTTTATATATATAAATATACCTAACCAAATATCAAAAACACCCAAGAAATTATGGGATACCGTCGCTGATATTTTGTCTGTAACAACCTGATGCTAGGGAATCATGACAAAATATAATAGAGATATACCATAATTTCTGGGGTGTTTTTGATATTTGGTTAGGTATATTTATATATATAAAAATGTCTCATAATTTGTGCAAAAGGCTGTAAAGATGTAAATAACATTCAATGTAAATAAGTCATGTGACAGTACTGTATTGGAGCTATTAAAAGTTGGAAGTTGGTCTTAATAAAAACATATAAGATTAAAATTGGTGCCTCAATGACATCACTGATGTTAAAACAAGCTGCATATGGAATAGCAACTAGAACCTTGGGATATGAGAATAGGCTGAACTGAAGCAGCCATGCAAATGGTTTTTGGTCTTTGTGTTGCTGTAAACATGTTACAGAACTTGTTTTTCTCCTGAGGGTTTAGTACTTTCTCACATTTGTGATCCCACCTGTGGCTGAATCAGAGCTGCCACTAGCCATGCAAAAAAAGATGAGTTGACAGATGACGAAGCATAGGAACTGATAGGTAACCAAATATGATTTATGTGACAAAGTTTCAATCTTAGGTGCATAGAGCATTTTGCGCCATTGTAGAGTCTTGATATCAATGCACCCAACAAATTTGTGCATATAATGTAGCATAAAGTCCGTTATGATGCTGGACAATAGACTAGTACTACTTTTTACCACTTTTGAGAACATCATTGTCTGCAATTGAATAAATGTAATGGAAACCAATTTAGCATGTGAGTCTTTTCATTTAAGATTAAGGAGCATTCAAATTGACATTCTAAGTTCATGGTTCAAATTGAGGTTCTCAAGCACTAGACTGAAACTATACTTTTTTAAAACGGATAAAACTACACTGTCAATTTCTTAGACAAAAGGTCTGGGTATCCCCAGACCATCCCCAGACCATCCCCAGACCATCCCCAGACCAAGATGTATAAGGTGAGAGAAGGAAACCCCTTCAAATGAAATTTGAGTTGTGATCACACTTTGGACAACTCAGTATCAATGGTGAGTTTATTTACACAGGGTCTTCCTCTTCTTCTCTCACAGCTGCAACTTCCAGTTTTGTTATATTTCCTCCCTGAGAGTGAGATGGAAGAAGACTGACAAAACACAGGCTGCGAAGGAGCCTAGGTCTTTGTCAATAATTACATGTACCTGTGTCTACTAGTTTGCTAAGGATGGGTTTCAACAGCTCTTCAAGAGCAGCTTTCTGCTTTAATACATCTTGAAGTGTGGCAGTATCTTTCTGTGCTTCAAGCCATTCATTCTTCTCATCACAATATCTATTACCACTTTGCTGTCAAAAACAACCAATCAAATCAATCATCTCCACTCATGTTTTGCAAGGCATTATGGGAACAAGTCCTATTAACCCCAACCAAGATGTCCACAGGCTTACCAGACTATCGAGAAGAGTCGGCTCCAGGCCTCCTATGGCGATGGATTATAATGAATATAATACCCCAAAATAACCAAAATATCAATGTTGAAAATGTAATAGTTTGAAGAGATTTCAACGGCTGATAATCCATGGCCATAGGAGGCCTGGATCCGACTCTTCTGGATAGTCTGGTAAGCCTGTGAGATGTCACAAGCCAACAGGTTGTAAAGAGGCGTTAAGAAGCACCAAAAGTGGAAGAGGGCATTCTAAAAAGGCTTGAAATTAAAAGTAAGGGTTTCTCAAAACCTTAAACGGGTCATGAAATACTCCTCTATTGGGAGGGATGGTATGGGGATTGCTTACCCTATCATCTTTGGTAAATCTTCCCATGTGTTTTTCTGGGTCTGCTATAGTTTCTTTGGTTGATGTGATAAGACATAACAGGTCTCGTTGAGCCTCTAAAAATCGCAGCATTGATATTAGGTAATTACTGCTATAGAATAGTTTGATAACGTGGAAGTTAATGCAAGTGATATTTGAGAGAAGGGTGATGATTATAAAAATTACAATGAAACCACAAAATACAATGAAACCACAAGTATTAAACCAGGCTTAATCATATTSATGAAAATCCTTGTTGCAAATTTTCATTCATTTAAGGACAAGAGTGTTTCAAGAGTGCAATGKAACTTGCATTAAAATCTTTAGCTAAGGGTTGATCAATCATATTCATGTCATATACATTGTCTGTAAGAAAACTGACCCACACAAACAAAGAAACATTGAAGCAAAATAAATTTCATTGCATCTACTTTCATAAATATTCAATTTTATGCCATAAATATTCAATTTTTTCTGACAAACATATGCTTAGTCTTAAACTTATCGGTGCCTTTAACCTACCTGCAATATCAAGAAATTCAACACAGGACATCTGCTTGTAACGCTTTGCGCACTCTCTTGCACGTTCACCGTGCTCTGTTTTCATTTGAAGATCAGCATTGTTTGCYACAAGAACTCGTAGACAGTCAAGCCTCCCCCAGCATGCTGCTTGATGTAAAGCTGAATAACCTATCAATCAAAAAAAACCACCTTGCACTCAAAACTCCTTAGTTTGTACCTCCTTTTCAAAACCTTTTGTACCTCTCACTGAGGTACACATAACTGCTTTAAATTTGTTAGATATGAAATCATAGATGCTGATGGAATTATATTTGTGAAGAAGGTGTAAATTCCATTTTTTTATTGATACAATGTGCAAAGCTTGAGGAAATAAAGTCTTTTGAATTAAAGCAAATGAACATCGAACAAGATGGAAAMCAGTGTTTCTGCTGCCATTAGCCTGCATACAAAGTCTGCMAAACTCAACAAGTCCTCTCTACTACACGGGAAAACCTTACCATTTTTGGTGGTATTATTGACTTCAGCTCCTCTCTCAATCAATTCCTGAATGATGTCAGTGCGTCCTAACACGGCAGCCATGTCTATCGCTGACTTTCCATCAGAGTCCCGTCTATTCAGCTCTGTGGAGCTATCTTTCACGTAAACACTTTCCGGATCCTCAAACAWYTKYCTTAAACTCTCTATATCACCTTTTATGGAGTATTCAAATAATTCATTACCCATTTTTGCAGTTCAAAGAGTTTGAATTTGTCAAAAATAGAATGTTTTGAGTTTTGAGTCCTTAGTGATGACCCGCTGACCAGTGTTCCTGAATAAACTACACAGGTAACCCAAACTTAGTTCGTTAGATGGCTACTTAAAGACTAATACAAAGCTCTAGCTAAATGCTATTACTTACGATCTTATAGTCAATGGTGGGAGTTTTGCCAATTTTTACCCAGTTCCGGACAGACATAAATTTAAATGAAATTCAGGACGGGCCTGCGATCATAAACAAAAAACTGTGGATTTGGCGCACGCGTAGATGACTWTTAGTACTCTAATGACAAATGGCGACAAAATGGTAGACAGACGGTAACTTCATCTTTTTTTCACATTATTAGCGAAATTTACTTAGTGGATTCTTGTAAAACAGAATATACAGKTAAATCATGGCAGTGGATACCAATTCAGCAGCCTTTGAACTGGGATATTTTTCATCGAACTCGCCCAATTCAACGGGAAAATCAAATCAAATCAACAACAAGACTCAAATGAAACACATGTCAGAACGTCATCCCAAACAAACGCTTGATGCTTTACAAGCCTTAAGACAATGTGAAGATCTATGTGATGTAGTTATCAAGGTTGGATCTAAGTCTATTGTTGCTCATCGTGTTGTTCTGGCYGCTTGTAGCCCGTATTTTCGAGCCATGTTTACCCGAGAAATGGCGGAAAGTCGCCAAAGTGAAATCACAATTCAAGATATCGACGAATATGCGATGGAAATTCTAATCGATTTTTCATATACTGCTAGTATTACTATCAAAGAAGAGAATGTACAAGCATTACTACCAGCAGCTTGCTTACTTCAATTGACTGAAATCCAGGACATTTGCTGCGAATTTCTAAAGCGACAGTTAGATCCATCAAATTGTTTGGGAATTCGAGCGTTTGCTGACACACACTCATGTCGAGATCTCCTTCGTGTAGCGGATTTATTTACACAACACAACTTTCAAGAAGTCATCGAAAGCGATGAATTTTTACTTCTTCCAGTCAACCAACTAGTAGATATTTTGTCAAGTGATGAACTTAATGTCAAATCAGAGGAACAGGTGTATTTTGCAGTCATTAGTTGGATGAAACATAACATTACAGAGAGAAGAGCCTATTTACCTCAAATTCTCCCCCATGTTCGACTTCCTCTGCTTGGACCTAAGTTTCTTGTAGGTGTGGTGGGTGCTGATGTGCATATAAAAAGTGACGAAACATGTAGGGACTTAGTTGATGAAGCCAAAAACTATCTGTTGTTGCCTGAGCAGCGTCTGCTCATGCAAGGACCAAGAACAAGGCCACGGAAGCCCACCAAATGTACTGAAGTTATTTTTGCTGTTGGTGGTTGGTGCAGYGGTGATGCTATTAGTAGTGTTGAAAGATATGACCCTCAGACTAGTGAATGGAAGATGGTGGCTACAATGAGTAAACGRCGATGTGGAGTAGGCGTGGCAGTGTTGGATAATTTGTTATATGCTGTAGGTGGTCATGATGGAAGTAGTTACCTGAACAGTGTGGAACGATATGATCCCAAGACTAACCAATGGAGCAGTGATGTATCACCCACTAGTACTTGTAGGACTAGTGTTGGAGTAGCTGTACTTAATGGGTTAGTTGAATGCTGTAACTTACATTATAAAACTCATTAATATTCATAAGGCAAAACACAATAGAAATCATAGCCCATGAAGAGAGTTGTATATTACATACAGATTTCTTGTTCATTTGCATAAACTTTAACTCTGATTTTCTCGGTCAGATTGATTTTTTTTTCAAAAGTTTCTCTGAGCTAGTTTACCTCAACGTTTCATAAGTAATATACAATATTCGCGGGCGATCTGTATGAGGTTTAAAACAGCTCGCTTTCAGCTCGCTATTTTAAATCCTCATACAGATCGCCCGCTCATATTGTATATATTACTAAAAGACATATAGAATGACTGAGTGAGAAGGAAAAAAATCCTTGTGTAGAAAATGTAGAGAAAATCTGCCAAGTTTTAGCACTGAGGAAARCCACTCAAATTATTCAATCAAAAAGTCCCATTGCAAGAATTCTCACTTTTTAAGTGCTAGTTTTATACAATTGACATTATGCTAATTCATGAAGCAACAAACAAATAGTCATTTGTGGAATGTCCATGCTAATAGACGGCCAGTTGTATTACTTCACCAATAAATGTCATTTTCTGAGTCTTTAATTGAATGAATAGAAAATGATGTAAGATGAGCATTGACGAATCTCACAGATACATGTACAGTGTAGACCCTTAACATTACTAGCCTACCTGCAGGCGTTCCTAGTTGGGGCGGAGTGAAGAAACGGAACTAACTAATTAGGGGGAGTATTTTGTTCCCTTCCGTTTCTTTGCTTCGCCCCCAACTAGGAATGGCTGCAYGCAGGCTAGAACATTATCTTTTTATGTTGTGACTGTAAGGGTGTACAGAACTAAACTTTAATCAATTTAAAGGCAGAAGAGAAGTAATTTTTGATGTTATTTACTTACCGARACTAGCATAATAATGATAAACAAGTAAAATAAAAAGCATTGTTATATTTCCTTTACAAGGTTCATGTATGCTGTTGGTGGTCAAGATGGCGTCTCCTGCCTTAACATTGTTGAAAAGTATGACCCCTCTGAAAACCGCTGGTCAAGAGTGGCACCTATGAGTACTAGACGGCTGGGTGTTGGTGTAGCGGTTCTGGACATGTTTCTATATGCAATAGGGGGATCTGATGGAACATCTCCATTAAGCACAGTAGAGAAATATGACCCAAGTACAAATAAATGGACAGCAGTRTGTCCCATGGGAACAAGGAGAAAACATTTGGGTGCTGCAGTGTTTCAAGATAAACTTTATGTTGGTAGGTATATGTCTATTTTTGTTTACTGATATATCTACTTGTACCCTGTTGCTAACAATTTCTGTTACCCCTCCTGCTATTGTTTGTGTTTGTAAAGCAGTTTGTTTGTTTTATTATGTGACATTTCAAAGTGTAGACAGGGAAAAAAAATTGTTAATCCTTTGGGTTCTATCTTGAATCTATTGCTATCCTGCTCAGGATGCATAAAASATGATGTAATCATTTGTCATTCATGTTTTACTCTCGTTTAGTTGGAGGAAGAGATGATTCCACAGAGTTGAGTAGTGCYGAGTCATATGATCCTAAAACCAACCAATGGACACCTGTTGTTGCTATGAAYTCACGACGCAGTGGTGTTGGGCTTGCAGTTGTGAATGGTCAGCTCCTTGCAGTAGGGGGGTTTGATGGGACCACATATCTTAAAACAATTGAAATWTTTGACTCAGTTTCAAATCAATGGAAAATGTCAGGGGGAATGAACTATCGTAGGCTCGGGGGAGGGGTAGGTGTGGTGAAACTTCCTTTAAGTGATACAGTTGGTTGCTAGGAGAAATCATTTTGAATCTTCTTTGGCATATTTTCCATTTTGTATTTTAGGTATATTGTTTCTTGATTATGTTCAGCATGGGGTTTTGAACTGSATGCATTGTATATCAATCCAAAGCTATAGTGACTAAACAGAGCAGCATAGAGAGAATTAAACGTGATATTTATTGGAGAGAAACAAAAAACTCGGCAACTAACATACACATCAACAAAAATGATCAAACATCAATATAGCAAAACATTACACAAACAACAAATATTGACACAGGGTCCTAGCTACGCCTTGAAATCCTTSGAAAGGTCTGGAATTGACAACTCATTTTCAAGGACACTTGAAAAACCCTTGGAAATAGGAAAAAAATATTCCTGGAAAATAATGCAAATTACWTTGCATGTCTCTTTAAAAGGAGGACATTTTCACCAACACAAAATGTCCAGAAACAACTTTAAAAAATTATCTTTCAAAATCGACGTTTTGTGCTTTAAAAGTACTTGAACATTCCTGGAATTTAGCTTGAACCCYGTTGACATTTATTCATTTATATTTCCACATCACCCCTCCAAATCAYAGGCTGTGTTTTATTAATTCATATTATTATAGCAATTATTAACCTGGAAGTTGAAGTAGAGTGATTTTTTCCATGAATAGCAAATCTAAAATGACTTTAGTAAGTTTAGTTTATCAAAACCAAAAATTGATCATTTTCAACCATTCCCACGAGATTCGTTAGATAAAAGACCGGCAGCCATGTTGGAGGAATAAACAATAGATACTAATGASAAATACTTTGTTGAAGTTCCTCGAAGATGGCCGCTGTGACGTAACCTGAAAACGAAGAATAKTTTACAAGGTAGCCATGTATCTTATTGAGACAAGTGAAAAATGATAGAAACCTTTGAATGATTGTGTTTGCTCACCAATCATCTTGTTTCCGACATTGTGGAGAACTGTGTTTGTACGATGTTTCTACTATTATTCTAACGTTGTATCTTAGCAATATTGAATTTAACATGACCCACCTGAATGTGGAAGTACTATATATTGTCTAAAAGAGAAATCTTAACCCAAACATAACAAATTATTATCGCGTTTACGTTGAAATCGAAATAATGTTGTACTTAGTAAAATATTGGTGTGTATATAGAAAATAAAATGTAATTTATTGTAGGTGTGGAATATCTTCCAAAAT